TTGATTTATGCCCAAACTTTTTTCTGCATGTAAGCATAGCTTGTAAAAAATGAGATATTTGATTCCACTCTCTTTCATACTCTTATATATTTTCTCTATATTCATTTATCTCAACTGTTATATTTGTAGTATATCCTTTTATTGTGAACTCTTGTTTTATTCTCTTCAATGATTTTTGTGTTCTTATTTTGAGTAAGAGTTAGCTTTACTATTTTACTAGTATGCTTAATTGATTTAGTTAATTTTTTACATATACTTTTTTAAAATATTATTTTGTTACTAGATAAAATTCTTATGAAACGTAATAAGATATAATTTCATTTAATTTTTTTATAAATTTATATTCTTTTAGAAGCATAGACCTTGAAAAGAGAAAGTAAGCTAATAACATTTTATAAAGATTTTTAAAATAAAAGTAATTCTTCAAATAAAATACTAATAAAGCTTATACAATCTTAAAATTAATTTTAAGCAACTAAAGTTTAATTAGAGCAATTTTATTTTTAATTAAAGAGCAGATAATTCAAAAAGATAAACAAACACTACCTAAATTGAGAAAGAGTAAAGCTGACACAAATCAACTAAATCTTATCTAGTAATAAAATAGCATATTTAAAATGTATATTAAAGGGTGTGTTAATAATATTTTCTTCAATTAATTGTAAATACAACGATTAAGTAATGTCTGATAACATCAACATTTTTAATTAATTAAAAGGCATTAGTTCTTATATTTTGAATATACTAAATACTTTTCATCTTCTGAATTGCTCTTTAAGTAACATTTTCTTATAGTTAAGGCTGTAACAACAGATGATGAGATTTATAATCCAGCAGGCTTATTAACAACTGTAATAATTCCTTCCTTAAATAAAGTTTTGGAGCTACATGCAGGTTAATTATGATTAAATTTATCAGCAATTCACATCGAAATTAGCCACAATGCTTTCTTTTTGCTTCTGATTCTCTAACACAAGCCTAATAATACATAGCATTATTAATTCATTTAATGGATGATTTCTAATTTCTTCAGTAGCTATCTCTAAAAGAAAGTTAATAACATAAAGTAAATCTAAAAATATCATACCAACATTAATTAATTTTATTAAAATTTGACTAAATCTTGACCAATTTTAAAATTATATTAATTAATACAATAATTAAATTTACCGTTCATTCTTTTGTTAGCTTGATTTATCTATATCAGCATATGTAAATTTACGTTTCTTTTTATGGAAAGCAAAAAGAGAAACCCCAAAAATTCCATATAAAAGAGGTATCTTGCTTTCTTTGTTCTGCAGCTTTTGTCGGTTTCTTACTAAATAAGTTTCGAGCGGTTAGATTTACAGAGAAAAAAAGAAAATCAAATAAGGTATAAATATTATAGGAATTGTTATTATTATTTTTAAATTAGAGTAATAGTTTTATTTTAATAACTTATAAAATATAATTTAATACACATTATTAAAATAAAATCTGAATTTTAATTAAAGAATAATATTTATATCAAAATTTTTAAATACAAAGTTAATTTTATCATACAATTATCAAATATGTTTACACAATTATATTATGTACTCAAACATAATTTTAAGATCTTTTTGCATCAACCTATGATTTATATTGGTAAATAACATATTCATGTTATAGGGTCAACCTGAATCTAGGTACACTTAAATCAGTAGTCCTAAACGTATGAAGCATCAAACAATAACCCATTTACTAAAATGTAATAACAACTTTAAATGTAGATTATTTTATTAAATATTTTCAATAATTAACCCCAAGCAGTAAATTCCAATACGACACGTAACTCGAGAAAAAAGAAGAATATAGCACAGAGGATATTTATAGAGGCCACCCCACTCAGCTGCTTATGAGAGTCTGGTTCGGTGCATTTACTTTAGACACTGTGTATAATAAATAACGATAAATGCTAACTAATGTTTTTAAAATATTAATTAGAAAATATACTTTTAATAATATTTAATTAATATATTCGAAAACAGCCATAATCAATTGTAAAATATAAAGTGTATAATCCAAACCTCTTCGCCGAACTCTATTAGACAATTAACTCTGAAGAGTGAATAGACCCGAAGAGAAATTATGTATTTTAAATTCTGTTCAGTTGTTTTTTTCCAATTAAAAGGAAAATAATGAAATATAAAATAAAGTGTGTAATAAAAAAATGAAAAACGTTTAAAAGAATAAAACCACTTAACACCAAACCAAAGAGTGTCGTCCAACATGCATAATTTATAATAAGATTGAATCATTTCACAATGAAATCATCAAGTACAGTATTTTAGAGACTTGAAGATTGATTTGTACCATTAAAATGAGATATACACCTTTTGATGTTTCAATTACTTGTAGTGAGTGTTGTTAAAATGTCTCTGCATAAAATTATAAAAAAATGTAAAAACAATTATATATAATATTACAAACTGTATTAATTTTTAGATATTAAAATCACAGAATTCAAAGCATTCAGACACTTTCATTCTTTCATGCAAATGGGTTGGTGATATAAGCACATACTAAAAGATATATTTCGACTAATGGGGACTTCAAATCAACTTATATATATATATATATATATATATAGAGAGAGAGAGAGAGAGAGAGAGAGAGAGAGAGAGGTAGCTAGTTGCTGATATGGACATTTTTCAGACATTGTGGGATGTACGGGGAAAGAAGAGACTGCAGCAAAAGAGGACAAAACTAAATGGGATTTTCAAGCACTGTGTGACAAACTCCATGAGATAATGTACTGTTACAAAAAGATATCACATCGTTAAGCGAAGATCAAAGTTTTGTTACCTTCTAATAAATAATTAATAATAATAAAGTCTTATTAAATAACAAGTTTATTATAATTTTATAACTTTAATTTAATAAATATATTTTTATTTATTTATAAATGTTCAAACTCAAGTTGAAGTTAACAAAAACTATAGTTGAATTTACTTAAATTTAGATTATGGCCGCTAATTCTATAGATTGGGTGAAAGTTTTTCTTCCACCTAAACCTAAATACAGAACTTTATCTTCAATTTCACACATAGTTTGTAAAAAGTGTTGAAAGTAGTTTAAGAAATTAAGTTAAAATATTTAAAAAAGTGAACTTTTATTAAAACTATATTCATTGTATTTTTATGTAAATTTCTTTAAATAAAGTTGATTATATTTGAATAAATGAACTCTTAAGACTAATGTTAATAAAATTAATAAGTCTGGGTTAAAACAAACATTTGCTCATATTAAAAATGCCAACGTGTCTCCAAAAGAAATATGACAAAATTTTACATTTTAGTGCAGACCATTTAATGTACCATAAGACGATTAATAATGAAATTAAAATGTTGATATTTTTCCGATTTTAGCTTTAGTGTTTTAGCACTTTATTTATTTTTATTTACAAAACTAACAAATAATTAATATTTTTTTAGAATTTTACTATAAATAATTAATATTTATTCAGTAGAAGATGATAAATAAGTGATGAGTCTCACATTGGTTGGGAGAGTGACTTATTAGTCTTTAAATAGTTGTGGCGTCCTTCTTTATAGCATGAGGCCTTTTTTTAGTGTGTCATATCTGAGAGAAATAAATCTGTAAGGAGTTAACCCCCAAAGCGGATAATATCATACTAACCGGTGGATTGGGTGTATGTTATCAATAAGTAAGATATTGATTAATATAAACGAATAACATACTTAAAAGTTAAATAATATTTTTAATGAAGTTTAAAATATTATTTTTCAATTCGTGTATAAAATTTTAGATTTAATTACACCTTTAGTCTTTATATTTTAAGTATCTATTATATTAGTTTTTTAATTTTAATTTTTCAAATTTTAATTTTTTTAAACTACTTAACTTAAGTTTTTTTGTCTAAAAATTAAGACTTTTGTTATATTTTACATTTTTATTTAAATATTTTATACATTTCTTCTTTATTTATCGGTGTAAATCAATAAAATAACATATTTTTATGACATTTTTATTAATTATTAAATATAATTTTGAACTGACGAACTTAATTTAATTATTTAAAAAATTAAAATAACTAAATATGAGTAATTAAAATTAAGAGAACTAAATTCACACTTATATTAAAATATAAAGATCAAAAGTATAAGGAAGTCAAAATTAAAACTTTATTTTGATAAAAATTATATTTAAAATTATAATAAATTATTTAAAACATTATAATCTTAATTAAAAATGATTTTCTTAACCTATTCAACATTAAATAGGATAAATTTTTTATAAAAATTAGAAAATTCATTATAATTAAATACATTATCAATGTGAAAAAATTGTTTATATATATTTTGCAAACCCATGTCATTCTTCTTACTCTTCATGTCATCTTCTTAATTGGATTTTGTAGGACTTCTGGAATTTGAAACTAATGATAAGGAAAGAGTGAGAGACAACCGCCACTCCAAAACTCACTTTGGAATGGCATGATTCTATTTCACTGGCCCAATTTTGTTTTTTGGTCAACTTACCCCATTCAAACATTGCTAACTTTTTTTTTGGGCTGGGCTGGCACCACAATCTGTCCTTCATTCGTTGTTGGTCCCACATTAAGAATTACTACCTCCACAAAAACAAAAACCCTGGAAGGAAAATCACTAGATGAAAAAAAAAAAAAAAACTACTTGCTAGGTGATGTATGTATTGTAAAAATAATGTGTATCTCACTCATTTTTATTTTTAAAATAATATTTTTCATATTTTTAATAAATTTTAGTTAATAATAAAAAATGTGTTAGAAAGTGTATTAAAAAATATCAAAGTTAAAAAAAAAAATTTATTGATTGAACCATCTTAATCTGAAATAGTTTTTTTATTATTATATGAACGATAAATATTAATGTTTTTTTAACATTTGCTTTAATTATTTTATTTTTTGTGGTTCACACTCCTTGCACTTGAAAGCTGTATGGCTGTGTATGTCTCACTCATCCTTTGCAGCAGTAGAGTAATTACAAGGTAAACTTATTTTTTCTGCCCAGGTTTTATAATCTTCACCTTTTGATTTCTGTCATTTGATTGTCATTGGAGAAAACCTGATCCCAAATTTATTATTTTTATTTCAATTATTATTTCTGTTATAACTTTTCCTTTAAGGGTGCAATTGTAATGCAAATGGCTTCCATTGTTGCAAGCTTGCCGCCACCGTTGCTATTCCATGGTAAAAATTCACATCCAGGGAACTTCCAAACTTTCCCTGTTTCTCTTCTTCCAGGTAACCCCTTTCTTTTTCTTTTATTCTGGTTCCTTTCAAAATTGAAATGAAATGAAAGGTTCTCATAAACAATGGTTTTGACTTCGTAGTGTTTTTTAAATTTATTTTTTCAAGTCAAGTGTAGTTAGTTTAAGTCAAAGTGAGTAGTAATCTCGGAGATGCTGAACCGCTGGTTCAGTTTCAAAGTGAAAATTTTTATTATGACATAGGTACCCAAAGAGGAAGAAAGAGTTAGGTTATCCTCTGTCTTGCTGTGTAGTTCTTGTGATCAAATGGTATTATTATTAGAAAAGTTGAACTTTAAAATCATCAGCATGGAATTTGGTAATTGTCTGGCTTTAGTTAGAAATTAAGAATTAACAGAAGGTCTTGTTGTAAGTTGTTCAAGGCTTTTTGGCATGATACATGCACTCTGGTACTATGCAAAATTTTTGAGCATTTTGCATTTGGTTGGATCCAATTATGAAAATCATTGTTGTATCATGTGTGTGGTTTTGTATTTGAACTTCATTGGTTTGCTGTTCTATGGAATAAATGTGACTATGTCCAGGTCCTTATAGCTGTTGATTTTAGTACATACAACTTTGGCTGATGCGTGTTCGAAGTGTTTGTATCTCTTATGTTCCTGATTCTTGATTTTCAATTTGAATGCTACACAGGGAGACAGAATCGTTTTGCTTTTGTTGTGAAGGCTTCTGGAGAAAGTTCTGAATCTTCAACTAGCCTTACTATTTTTAAGTCTGTGCAGAATGTTGTGAGTTTCTCCTCTCCTCCCATTCACATTCTTCTTATCTTTCTTTCAAAGAGACAGAAAAGGTACCATATACCTAAATTGCTGTTTGTGTTTTGTATGTTGATTTTAAAACAGTGGGATCAGCCTGAAGATCGACTAGGACTAATTGGTTTGGGATTTGCAGCCATAGCAGCACTTTGGGCATCGACAAATTTGATTGCGGTAATCTTCACCATTTTCAGTGTGTTTTGGAAATTGAATATGTTATTGTAGAATTTTAGCGAACGTATTGACATATGGGCTGATATGATCACCACTAGAAAATTTTGAATAGATGGGATACCTATAAGCACATATCCATTTGGGCTATCACGTTTTAGTCCCTAAACAAATGGTTGTTTTTATTTATTAAGGATTTAGAAATCTCTTTTAAGTTTAAATTGCTTCACAATGACATTCCTTCTTGCTCTCTTGGTTTGGTCATTGAATCTGTACATACTTTCACCATGAAAAACGAGAGTTAAATTTTATCCCAATGCAATGCTTGCACCATTGTGATTTTGTTTTTGTCATTTTTGTATGTAGGCCATTGACAAATTGCCACTTATCCCAAATGCGATGGAATTAATTGGAATATTTTTCTCTTTGGTAAGTGCTGTGCTACATAGTTGCCGTGGCTGTGAAAACTTGTAATTACCATGTTTGGTTTAGCTTAAATTTTTGGACATAATCTTGTTTTTTTTAACAAAAGGAAACTATAAAAGCTGCAAAAAAAAAAGATTATTTTTTCAATGCGTTTCTATTTAATCTTAATTCTTTATTTAAATTTTGCAAGTAATTTAAACTTCTCTTTCTATTCAGTGGTTTACCTATCGCTATCTCATATTCAAGCCTGACAGGTAAACATTCTAGTCACCTTTATTCTGATTTCCGTTAGTTTGTTTTATATTAATTACATCATAACATTATTCTGTTAAGACCTTCTGTTTCATAATTGGAGGAAAGAAAGAGAAAGTTTATAGTGGATGGTTACATTTACAGCATTACTCATTAACCACTGGATTGATTAAATCCTCTTATAAAGTGGGTAATGATTAACTACTTAATAAAGAGATTAACTTCATGTAAATAATGAAACTTATATTCATGAGTAATATTATTCATTGGTACTTTTCTAGAGAAATCCCGTTAACAAAGGTTAGCTTCTATTGCACTCAATTTGCAAGCAACTTCTCTTTGAATTTTCTTGATACAGGCAAGAGCTTTTTCAAATCTTGAACAAGTCAGTATCAGATATCTTGGGCCAGTAATATGTGCTGCCAAAATGCTACGCTAGGTTGTGATTTGAAGTATGAATTCTCAGCAGCAGCAGTTCTTTTGTTTTGGGAGAAGTGGGTGAAAAGGGGGGAGGGGAAAGAGGTTTTGTTTATCTTCACTTCTATCGTAAATGACTGTGCAAGGATTGTTTATTTGGTCAAAGACCACTAACGTTACATCAATGAATTGAAGCTTGCTTCTTCTGTGTTGGCTACTTTGTATTGAACATAATAAGATAGTTTTACAATTCTATTGACGATCGTTCCCTTGAGCATTTGGATCAAGTTAATAACAGATCAATTGAAAATAAAACTAGCTTAATGCCAAGATAAGACCCTTTTTATAGGAAAATTGTACCTTAAGGCAGATCATTTAATGTATAATAATAGGGATATCTATTTGCCATTTATAAGTCGAAGTTGTGTATATCAGTGGAATTTTGTTTTGCATTCTCTAAGTCCATTTATGGTCACTAAACAATGTTTGTAAAGTAGAGATTTGATTCCTGTAAAGGGAGAAAAGATATAAAGGGAGAAAGTATCATTGATTTAAAGTCATGTTTATAAAACTATTTCATTTAAATATTTTTGCTATTAAGCTTATGATGTTTTATTTTTCATTGTGCACCATAATGATTGCAATTACTATTAATTTTTAAGGATCAGTTGTTTTTTTCCTTTTTAAGTTTTGCAATGCATGGTTTGTTATTTCTTTGCTACTCTGATTTTTTATTTTTTTCATTATTTGTTTACTATTTTTATGATTTTGATAGTAGTATAAAAATATAAGACTTTCTAAGTTTTCTACTGTATTTTTTTTGAGTGTATTGATGTTATAGACCTTTATGCATTTGTACACACTTCCCTGTATTTGTGAGTTGCCGATAAAAAAGCAGAACGTAGTGAGTCAGTGAATTACGCAATCATAGGTGGATGAACTGCGTGCCAGCCAATTGAGGGCTATTGCCAATTTGCCAGCCCCACCACCATTTGTTCTTAATTTTCAACCAAAAATTATAACAAAATAAAATCATATGTTCATTATTTATATAATGTCATTATGGACCAAGCTGGTTTGATCACAGTATGCTCTGCCTAACAAAAGCATATTGCCATTTACTTATTTTCTTTATGTCAAAACCTGTTTATTTATTTATTTTTTAAATATTTTATATATTTTTATTTACTTATTTATATAAATTAATAAAATGTCATTATATTTTTATTATTTATTAAATAAAAAAAGCTTAATTTGAATGTTTACAAAATTTTAAAAAAATTGAAACAATTAAAAATATTAAACGTGAGTAATAAATAATATATTATGTTTATTATTATTATTTTTTGGTTATGAATCTCTCTCTTTTATTTAAGGTGTACTTTCACTTATATTTTTTATAAGAAATAAAATAGAATATTTTTTTATCTTTATTATAAAAAATAAATAATAGATTTAAGATGTATTAATTATTAAATTTTTTTATACTCTTTTTTATTAGTATTATTAAATATATAAATTACTAATTACATTATTTAATATTATAGATATTTTTAAAATAAAATTTATATTTATGAAAAATATAAAAAAATTAATTATTATTTTTTTGGTATGATGATTTAATCTTATATATATATATATATATATATATAGTCAAAATTCTTAAACATACACTTGAGAAAGAAAAACGCTTCCGTACATTTTAAGAAAAATGAAATTATGGTGTTAAGGAATTGAGCAATATACATGAATGTGTCACACAACTCCGAACGAAGATTAATGAGGAAGCAAATCACAGCGTAATTTTCAATCTTCTTGGAAATGCAGGACAGAGAGCAGAGTTGTAGGAGCTGCCACATGTCCTAATACACATTCCAATGACACACATTACATACCTACTTGTATCTGTATTATTATACGTATACCTTTGCGAAATCTATGGTAGCTTTGTATTGTATTGACCAAGACTGCGTCACATACTGACACGTGCCTTCTTCTTCAGTTGCCATCACAACACTTCACTCTCCTTTTCTGATTCAATCAATTGCATCGCTCTCTATCAACATTCGTTCAACCTCTGCGTTTCAAACTCCGTTCCAAAATCTTCGTCTCACAACAACAAAGGTTTTCAAATCTCTCTCTCTCTCTCTCTCTCTCTCTCTCTCTCTCTCTCTCTCTTTTCAGTTTTTCTTTTTATTGTATGATTGCATTTTGGCTTCTCCGCTTTCCTGTGAATGTGGTGTGTGAGAGAAGCTTCTTGATATTTGTGATTCTCTTCAAATCCCTTCTAAACAAAACAAATGATGGTGAGATTTCTGTTTCACCCCATTGTATGGGAATGACGACAATGTGCATGGAAAAATCATCGTAAAAGTCCCATGATGTAATAGAAAATGAAGTTCTGGGGGTGTCAGATCTGAGAAAATGTTTGCAATTTCTTGTTGAGATTGCGCTCTCGTTGTACGTGATGTTGTTTTCATGTGCTGTAATTGACGAGTTCTTCGATTGCCATTTGTTTTTCTAATGATGATGATGATGCTGATGCTGATGCAGTAGCCTGTGGAAAGGTTTGGAGAAGCTTTCTAACGTTTTGCCATGCGGGGACGGCAGCGAGTAGCATCCAGAGACCACATATCTGGGCATGAAAAAGAAGAAAATCAAGGTATCTTGCTGTTTTTGTGATCTTCAAGTTTATACTATTATTATTATTAAACTAAGCAGTTGCTTTTTATTCTTTAAAAAATTGAGTTTACTGATTTTGTATTTGAGTGATTCCACGACCGTGAGTTATCAAAGCTTTAAAATATACTATAGGAGTTGAATATAGTAGTTGATCATAAACTTAACTCTTCGGGGAGAAAAATGGAAATGGCTGCTTTAAATCGAATTATACCGCGTAACAGTTCAGCTATAGTATATTCGTTACATGATTGTATATGTTTTCATGTGTGTATCGTGCATCTTGCTAGTGAATATGATTTCTTTTTTTTAATAACCCATTTGGAGAATTTGGTTTGGAATGGTATCACTAACTGAAGAATTTAATTCCTCTTAGCTTCAGTTCGTTTACCAACTGTCAAACCTTGTTGGCAGCGATCTTTGCGGCATGTAGTAGTGGCTTCTCTTTCTTCATTCTTATATGGATACCATATTGGGTATTTTATTCTACACTGAAGCTTGATCCATCTTCATTCTTCTTATGTCTATATGGAATTATCTAATTTTCTTGTTGCTATTGCCAACTCAGAGTAGTCAATGAAACCTTAGAGAGCATTTCTGTAGATCTCAGCTTTAGTGGGAATACAATGGCTGAAGGTACTTCGCCCCTATTTTTCTGACTAACATTGAGCTCTTTATCATGTTTTACTTCTAAATATTTATCTACTTTCTTTTATTTTTATGTTGATGAAGGTCTTGTAGTAAGTATATGTTTAGGAGGAGCTTTTATTGGATCTCTGTTCAGTGGGTGGATTGCAGATGGTGTTGGGCGTAGAAGAAGTTTCCAGTTGTGTGCTTTACCTATGATTATCGGGGCTGGAATGAGGTATCAGCTGCCTAAGTTGCAAATTAATTCTCTCATTATTTTGTATCACATTGCATGCTTATGCTATAAAATCTGCATTCTATTTCTGCAAAGGAAGTACAAAGCTATGCTGTTTATTGTAATATATATAACATATGGTTCCTTTTCTAGAGAAGGTTATCTGGTTAAATTTATTGAGTTCCTAGCTCCTACCATCGTGGGAATTTGAAAATGTTAACAAATTGATATGCTTAATTTCTTCAGTGACAAAATGGCATGATCAATTCTCTTTTAAGTGTTTGATTGTGGTATCAAAATCCATCTAGTTATCTCTGACTTTATATTCAATGATTTGTTAAGCCTCATATGGTTACTAAGGCTGCAGGGATGAGATGACTAGGGGTTAAGACAGGAATTTAATTTGTAACTACCCTGCATCAATGGGAGGTAGGAGCAAGCAAGGTAGGAAGTGACGTGTGAAATCTGGTAAGGGAAATGATAAAAGCTGCAAGGTGGAGAAGTGTAATAGGCAATCATTCAGTAGGAATTAGGGCTGGGATAGGGCAGGGAGGATTCAGACCCTTTAAGTTCTGCAGTATTCCTATCTTTGTTTTTTAGCTTTTCAGTGTGATCAAGAGGGAGATTTCCCAGTCTAAGGATTCAGAATCCATAGTTTCTTATCCATAAAATCTGTTCTTATCATGAGGTTGTCCATCAGCTGCTTTAAATTTGGATTTTATTTTTCAATTTCTTTTGATAGACATAATTTGTATTTTGTAAATAGAACTCTGAATGAATCAGGAAAAGTTGAGAAATCACTATTACAACCCTAATAATTATTATGATAAAACAATGGAGAGCCCCTTTCTCATGCTTTCTATTTGTATTCATATTCTTAGTGCTCTGTTGCTAATTAACATTAATGTCATCCTATTTCAAAATGTTTTCTATTAAAAAACATAAGATAATGCAACAAAAGAAAGGGAGAACCAGAAAGAAGGAACATTTTCCCAATAAAACAGTAAAACTATGAACTTATTATTCACAACTTTTGCAGTGCAACAGCAAAATCCCTGTGGGGCATGCTTTTGGGAAGGTTATTTGTTGGTACTGGAATGGGACTTGGCCCACCTGTTGCAGCTCTTTATGTGGCTGAGGTATACTTGATGGTATCATCAATGTTGTTTTCTGTGCAGTACATGATCGTAATATTTTTCAATAGAGGTCTTTTCAATTAACTTAAATCCACTTGCATTTATAGGTCTCACCTCCAGCTGTGCGGGGTGCTTTTGGGGGTTTAACTCAAATAGCAACATGTCTTGGACTCATGGGTTCTCTCTTTATTGGAATCCCAGCGAAGGATATTGTGGGTTGGTATGGAATGTTAAATGGGCTTGATGAAGTTCAAGAAGTTTTTTTTTTACTGTAGCATAATAGACTAATTCAATTTTCAGTTACTTTTTTTTTCTAGCTGTATTTTTCTAAAAGGTAGTTTTTCATGTGGAAATTGTGTGGATAGGTGGAGGATTTGTTTTTGGGTATCTGTCATTCCTGCTACAATACTTGCACTTTTTATGGAGATTTGTGCAGAGTCTCCATATTGGCTATTCAAGGTTATCTACTCTCCCATGTAAACAAACAAGAGCTTCTAATTAATAATTGAAACTGGTTAGCTTAATTTCATATATTTGCTTTCAACTATTTTACATCCTTTCTGAAGGCTAATAGGTAGACTAAAATTTTTGACCCAAATCATAGCTTATAGATATTTAAGTATAAATTTGATCTTTGTTAAGATATATAAGTTTCATACTGAATATGGGTAATTAAAACTACCTTGCTTTAAGATCTCTAGTATATTTTTCTCTTTGTTTACTTTTGATTCAGAAGAGGATTTTTGAAATGGTGTTTCTTGAATGCTCCTCTGCACAATATTTTGCTGATGTGGTGCTATCAAAAGGCTCTATTGTTAGGTGACTTTTGTTCGACCATGTTGTTTCTTCTGCTTTATGAATAAAAAAGGAGATTCTCTCTTTCCATTATGACTGCTACCTCCTTTCTGGATTTCTGAGTTTCCCTCTCTCAGTGATTAATTCCCTTTTTAAAATAATAAATAACTATATCCTTCTTGATATCTATTTGTAACCTATTATTAACTTATAGTACACTACTTCTTAAAAAAAGAATACCTAGGGTCTCACCCTTCCAAACTGTATTTATTTCCTTCCTGTTATTGATTAATGTTATTTGTCTACATAGGCACTAATATTTCTTTGACTTTGTTTAGAGAGGAAGAACCATTGAAGCCGAAGCTGAATTTGAGAAGCTCTTGGGAGGGGTTCATGTGAAAGCTGCAATGACTGAACTTTCAAAGTCTGACAGAGGTGATGGGTCTGATACAGTAAAACTCTCTGAATTACTCTTTGGCTGCCATTTCAGAGGTACATATTATATTTTTTAAAATTTTATTTCAAATATTTCATGTGTGGAACAGTAGTATACCTTTTAGATGATTGCTTAATCATATCATAATTTCTAAAATTGTTTATTTTTGCAATCATATATAGTTGTGTCTTATTGTTGGTTGCTAAATTACTAAATGCTTTTTGCAGTGATGTTCATTGGATCCACACTTTTTGCATTGCAGCAGCTATCTGGCATAAATGCTGTTTTCTATTTCTCTTCAGCTGTCTTTGAAAGCTTTGGTGTACCATCTGATATTGCAAACACCTGTGTGGGAATTTGCAATTTATTGGGTATCTGCTGGCTTAACTCCTTTGTTGTTGTTTAAGTTGGTTTGTAATTGTGGTGTATTTCTCTCAACCTTGTTGTTTATGACCCTTCAGGGTCAGTTGTCGCAATGATTCTGATGGATAAACTTGGAAGGAAAGTGCTTCTCCTGGGTAGCTTTTTTGGCATGGTAAGAAAGAAATGAAAAATATAACTTTGCTGAATTAATCTCTTTTAAACTTGAATATTACTTAAACCAAATTTCATTATACATGTTAGAAAATTCTAATTAATTTGTAGGTGTCTACTATTCAATAATTGCTTTAACTATTCATATACTTGCTGCCATAAGGAATTGACATGCACATGATTTAGGAAGGCACTGTAACCATTTAGCTTCCAAAGCAATGTTTTCTGTTACCAAATTACTAAGTTCCAAACCTCCCTCCTTAGGCATGTGACATACCTACCATTTGACAAGGCCTGAAAAGTGGCTAGACAATAAACTGGAATGCTGGACAAAGAAGCCTGAATAAAAGCTCTTTCTATTATGGGAGATGGAACAATTTTCCTGATAGTCTTGAGGGATTTAGGTTAGGTGTGTTTGGTAGCCAATGCATGGGAAGGGAAAGGTTCAAAGATCATGATACAAAATGATACACACTAAGTTAGGTGTGTTTGCATGGATGAGTGGACACATGAGAAAAGTCATGATACAAAATGATGTATACAAGAAAATATTGGAGTAATATCTATAATAGAAAAGATGATTGAAAATTGTCTAAAGTGATTCAGTCATTTGCAAAAAAAACTTTTAGGGGTACTAGTAAAGAGAGTGGATTGTATGACTCTTAATTTAATAAAGAGGGATCAAGAGACCCAAAAGAATCTAAGGCAAAGTTATTAAAAGAGATTTTTTGATTAATTAGATTTCTGAAAATTTAATTTTTGACCGAACTCAATGACATTGTTGATCCATATAAGCTGACCTCATCTGGTGAGATCAGGCTTAATTGTTGGTTTGTTATATATAGGAATAGAGTGACAAAATATATACAAGAGGAGAGTATCTAAATCATGATTTCAGGACTGGAATCTAGTGCCAAAAATCTAGGATTGATTTTATGTTAATATTGCTAATAAAAAAGACAAACAATCCTAGCTTAGTAATACTAATTGGGAAAAATATACTCATAAAATAAGTATCAATAACAATCAAGTAAATTAAAGGTTAGATTGTTTATCTATAATCTCCTGCAGTTTTAGTGAAAACTGCCAAAACTAATATGCTCAACACAGACATTTTCCACCAATACTTAATCCACTTGGTAGTTTTCACTTTTTGCAAGCTCACCAAGTGTGGCGTACGCAATCTCCCATCTAAAGTTTTCCTACAATCATCGGGAAAGAATTCAAGCCATTTGATAGTAGGTAGTAGGTGCTTATCTGTGATGCTGTTTAAGGGTTGAATTTCTTACCAGTTATTGCATTTTTTACTAATTTTCATTAATGTGGATTATATTATCTGATCTCTTTATGCATTTTCTTGTTTAGGCATTAGCAATGGGTCTACAAGTCCTTGCTGCAAGTTATTTTGTATCAGGATTGGGAGCAATGTATTTATCTGTTGGTGGCATGTTGCTGTAAGTGGCCAGAAGCTTCAACTTGCATTTCTTGGGAGGGGGGTTGGGGGTCAGACACTCTTCTAATATTGCTATTCAGTCAATGGTTTTCAGAAATTCATAACTTGTGCATACCTAATTTGTCTATGCATCAGATGTAGTATCAAGTGTTTATATTAGCAAAGTGGACATCCATTCCAATCATTTTAGCAGCAGAATCACAGGGAAATAAATCTAACATGGACTGCTGCTTAGATTGTTGGATATGGTGCTTTTGAATCTGAAACACCTTGATTCCTTAATTTGCACTCCCAAGTTACTTAACAGATTTTTCTCAATTAACTTGCCAAATTACCATGATATGTGTTGCTAAATGTGAAATGGACAACACAGGTTTGTGCTATCATTTGCTTTCGGTGCTGGTCCAGTTCCTTGTCTCCTCATGTCTGAAATTCTACCTGGCAAGATCAGAGCCAAGGCAATGGCAATTTGCCTGGCTGTGCATTGGGTAATTGTCTTTGCATGCATTCATCATTTCATCTTTAATACTTCCTTACGTCATTCTGTTTCCTGTTCTTAACTTTCTATAGTATTTAACTCGTTTGGGCATTCTTATGAACTTGAAAACTTCTCAAATCTTTGTCCTTATTGTGTTGCCATATTTAACACAAATAGTGCTGATAAATATTTTATGTTCACATTTTAAAATCAAGTTTTGTTTAAATATTTGAATATATTCTAGTAAGGTTCCTTTAGCTCTCTGATTTAACCTCAGTTGAGAGATGATTGATAACTTGACATGGTATCCGAATCTGATTATTAAGGAAATTATTGATTTGAAAATTCTTGATAACCGGTGCTTAAACAAGACTGCAAGCATAGTTGGCTATGATTGTTGGTTTATTACGCTTGAAATTTGTGCTTTATAACATTTTGGGATGCTCTTACTAACTATATTGCGCATGTTGAAGGAAGTTTTCGCCTTTCAGATTATCAGTGTCTTTTAGTTTGGTTCTTTTCTTGTTTACGCCCAGCCCATTCCTTCTCAAATGTTATCTAGTTCTCTGAATTTGTAAACATTCTGTAACAGGTGATAAACTTCTTCGTGGGTCTATTCTTTTTGCGCATGCTGGAGCTAATTGGGCCCCAACTTCTGTATAGTGCTTTTGGTTCCTTTTGTTTGACGGCGGTGATTTTTGTGAAGAAATTTGTTCTGGAAACAAAAGGGAAGTCACTCCAGGAAATTGAAATTGCGCTTCTTTCTCAAGAAACAACCCAAATGAACTAAAGTGGCCGTACGGTTAAGGTATAGGCATATATTCATTTGTTGAAAGAGTTGTGGAAACATTTTCATGTAAAAAGTATAAGGAAAGATCTTCTTTCACATACTATTCACTATATATATATATATATATACACACACACACACATAAAGTGAATAAGTCCCGGTCTGGGTTCTCAAAAGTTTCTAGCATCCTTTCCATGCCTTTATCCCGTTTCCTTCCCTTTCGTAGAGCCTAGTATGTGTTTCTCTTCAAACAAAAATTTATTGAAAGCTATAAAAGTAGTAAAGAAAATCATTAAATTAAAAGTGAGAGTCACATTATTTTTTTATTTTTAAATAAATTTGTCAAATAATTAAATATATGTTTTAAAGAATGTGTTAGAGAATATTTTTTCTCAAAAGAAAAAAAAAAGTTTTTAACATCCATTATTTCTGTTTGAATTTTTGTCATCACTTGTATGCTTAAACTTGAGCAATTGAATTCTAGAAATAATGGCTGAACAAAATATACAATTCAAACTATTTTTATAGGTATTATGATTGTATTAATCGACCCGTATTTCTTTATGTTACTGATTTGCAGGGAAATTTGAGCTTCGTTTACCTGCGGTCTAGTTTTCTGAGCATTTGATAATCTCTTGCTATAGTTTGAGTCTTTTTTCGAATGCTCACTGAAAGGCATTTGTAAATTTTAGAGTTTTATTTTTTACACAAAATTGGTGAGCAAATTCTGGGCATTGATACTTGTGGGAAATGTAATTGCATTTACATAATTGATATCACAGTTTTGACTGCATATGAGTTGTTTTGATAAAAGAAAATCAACCTAATCATATTATTGTAAGAATAGCATGGTTTACGTCTAACTGGAAAAACTGAATTAAACCAAATTATCTATCGATCAGATTTGTTCGGTTGGGTTCAATTATTTTTTATCTAAATTGTAAAGGAAATACCAGATTCAGTTCATAAAAGAAGATCTAATTTGGTCTTTTAAGAAGATAAAATCATCAAATAGTCTTTTATGATTATAGAGGTGGAACACTAGTTCTCTAGATATATTTTTTTCTTTATTTTTAGTATATGACTAGTCCTTAAAAAAAATATCGATTACTCTAAAAAAATTATTAATGGTTTAAATAAAAAATTATTAATGACTCAAATTGGTCTTTAAAAATATTAATTTTAATGGATGAAAAATACTAAACTGAAAATTTTAAAGAATTGTTTAGTGATTATATCTTTTCTAATAATCACATTAGGTTGTTTAAACTTTTTAGTGATTATTTATTTTCTAATATAGGGAGAGAGAGAGAGAGAGAGGGAGAGAAAAAAAAAAGAGACCAGTAAAATGCAGCACCGCATGAAACAAAAAAAAAAAAACTTCGAAATGTAATAACATGATAAAACTGAGGGTATGCGAGTAATTAGATCAGAATAAATGAGTTTTTTTTATTTTCTGGATTATATATATATATATATAAATGAGTTTTTTTTATTTTCTGGATTATATATATATATATATATAATTTTATTTTCATAGGAGACAATTTTACTATAAGTCATAAATGTTTATATTATAACGAGATTAATTTTTTTTATAAGTAAAATTTGAATTTGAAACTTTAATCAAAGAAAAAAGAACAGTTTTTATTGTCTTGCTTTAAAACCAATTACGGTTTGGAAAAGAAAAATGGTCATCCTTTGTTTTTACTCAATGAAAAACAATTAGGTTTGGTTTAAAGTAGTAAGTATTCGTGTATATATATATATATATATATATATATATATATATATATATATAAATATTTTTAGAAAACCAAATATCTTAAAATTATAATAAAAAAACATCATTAATTTAAATAAGTAAAACTTATAACCAATTTAAATTTGAGAAGATAATACTAAATAAAAAAAAAACAACTTCAAAATATCAGAATATGAAATTAGAGATGAAAGAAATATAATAAAAAAACAAATGAAATTTGATAGGTGAAAAATAAATTTGAATATATAAGGAAAATTTAAAAACATTTTACATTTTTTTAGTTTATAAGATGAAAAATGTAAAGTAATGATGAATTAAATGTAGAAAGAATAAAATATAATATGTTCACATATTCAAGAACGAGAATTCAAATTTAGAAGATAAATATGGATAATTTATTATTTCCATCATCAAATAGAAGTTTAAAAAATGATAATAATTATATGATTTTAAAATCATTTTATAAAGTTGCATTTATCTAAAATAATAGAACTTGAAAAATTTATTTTAATATTTTTTATTAATTAACTTATAAAAAATATAAAGCAGATTATTTTTTAAAACTTACATAACCAATAATTTTTTTATATGTAAATCCAAGAATTCTGACAAAAACAAAAAGTGTCATTAATTGGTTTTTTATGGGCCATTATTAGTGATTTTGTATGATATCGATTGAGTCAATGGATCGGGCTCCCTAAGATACGTTGGGCCTTCGTTTCTTGGTTTTGTACACCGGAAACGCCACAACATAATCAGACTCGAAGCTTCGAATTGAAGGCGAAGAAAGAAGGATCACAGACTTTTCATCAAATTTTGCTGTGAGTTTCTACTTTAAACCCATTTCATGTATACGATATTTCCGATAAATTAATCTATTAAATTAATTTTTGCTTTGAATTTTGGAGAAATGTTTTCTCTACTGAAATCTGTGTTCGACAAACTGAATTTCGTTTTTGCCATGCAGCTGTTTGATGAAATATTTGACTGAAAGCAGAGTTCCATAATTATCACTTCCGCACACTAATTTTTTTTTCTTGTTTTTTTGGTTTTTTTTTTCCCATTTAAGAAGGCGTTTAAAAGACCATTTATGAAACTTATTTGAACTTATAGAAATAGCTAATAATTTCAGTTTCTTTTGATGTGTTCTTTTTTTAGGCAAGTTTGTTAAAATAAGCTGTTCTTAAATTATTGCAATGGTGAAATTTATCAAAATAAACTTTTTTTATTTAATTTTTAGTAAGTTTTTAATGCTAGTTGTTTGGGTAGGTCTGAATGGCAAGTGAGGATGATGCAGTGAAGAAGGCACTGATAGTGGATGCTCGGGCAAGAAACATCAGTCACAATGTGAGGTGCACAGAATGTGGCAGTCAATCCATTGAAGATTCTCAAGCAGACATTGCAATTTTGCTTAGGAAGGTAATTGGGATTTTGTTTATTTATTTTGGGTTTCAATCAACTACTTGTTTGGAACTTCAACTGGCTTCTAAACTTGAAATAGTTTGGAAAAGGGAATTGAAATTTCAGGACTGAGACGAATTTGTGTATAAGGGTGATCCTAAATATGCAGTATTCTTTTTTAGTTACTCATATAGTTTATATTTGTTCATGGTTATGTTAGCTTTCTGTCAAATTAAATGGCTGTCACAATTTCTTTCCTGCAACACCACGGGAGAAAGATGCTACATAATATAGAATTTAGTTTTTGCCCAAATTCAATGGCATCCTGTGATCTATATAGCTGATTTCACCTATTGGAATAAGACTTAGTTGTTGTCTAATGCCAAGGGAGGAAGAAAAGAAAATTGCCTGTCCCTTTAATGCCTGTTGGTGGTTTTATTGGATACACAGTTCGTAAAGCTTCGCTGGCTTAAATTATAGCCTTTTATTTTTTGTTCCGATCATTCTCATTGATTTGAATGTCTGTCTTAGTGAAACACCGAAAGATTCAACAGAATATGCCAGGCTTGTGGGGGAATTCCAGGTCATATAACTGATTTTCATGTATTTGTAATACAATAATTTTTTTGTAAGATTTTGAAGTTGAATGCGTATTAATGCTCATAATTTATTTAATAGTAATGCTTGTTAGTAGCAGTGTATGAAAGTAAGCTATTGTGCCATCATGCAAATCCTAATCACTTGTACTATTTGCCAGTTAATTCGTGATGAAATTCGGGCTGGAAAGACTGACAAAGAGATCTACAAAAAGCTTGAGGATGATTTTGGAGAGACTGTACTCTATACGCCTAAATTTGATATGCAGACAGCAGCTTTGTGGCTATCACCGGTAAAAAAAATTTCTTCAGGATTGAAAGCACTTGAGTTCATGATTTTTTAGTGCAGTTTAGTTTGTGCTGATTCCAGAAACATGTTTTTTCAAATAGCTCCTAGTTGCAGGTGCAGCTGCAGGAGTATGGGCATACAAGAAGCATAAGCAAAAGACTAATGTCCATATCATGGCTTTGAACCTTGTAAGAGGTGTTCCATTGACCCCAACAGAGAAGGAAACAATGCTTGACATTCTTACTCCACCTCCTTCACAGGGAGCTAGGACTTCCTTCTGGTGGAGGAGATGGCAAGGTCAATGATCACTTGAAGAGAACTTTCAATATTGTACATGTTTGTGACTGTAAGCTAAGTTTCATTTTGATGTTCATCCACAAATTTTCAAGTCTATCGATTTTAATTTTATTTGTCAACGCCGAAGCTTGGTACAGATATACATGCCAATAATGAGTTGACTTTCATTATTTTATAATACCAGTTTCATTACTTATTTTCCAAATCAATCCTTCAAGTCTACTATACTCCAGTCTCCACATCCAGGATTTTTGGCATTATGATATATTCCTAGACCAATATATGATGACGTCTTTCAAAAGATTTTCCTTTCTCCCTTTTTAAAGTTATCTTTTTGGTTGTTGAATTTACTTCAAGATATATATATATATATATATATATATATATATATATATATATATATATATATTTTCCCCCCTTTAATAAACAAATTTTAGCAATCATATTAAGCTGTTGAATTTCGGTGATCTTATTTTTCCACACGATTTCTTAAGAATATGATTTGACAGATAACACTGAACTGGGTCGTGATATATCAACTTGCCTTCCAACATGAGATGATGAGATAATTGGAGATCGAGTAAAATCTCATATGAATCGAATACTTTATGTCTTAAGATTTAAATTTTTTTAATTTTGTAAAATGCTGTTTATTTTAATTTTTTATTCTATTGGTTATTATTTTGTGTTAAAAAAAGATTAAAGTGATTCTTATTTTACAAAATAAGGTAGTAACAAAAAGGTTTAAAAATATAACAGCTGATCTGACTGATTTAATTTCGAAAAATGATGAGTCTTCATAGTATTCTCCACGATAATAACACTTGTATATGACTCCCTTGTGACGTGGTGGATATGCATTGAAACAACATTGGGACGCCATTTCTTTTGGGGTCAGACATTTTGCGACTCTTCGAGTAGTTTGGAAGCTAGAGTGCCAGACACAGATCCAATATTTAAGAATAGATATCAATTATAAATCCTTTTCTTATCGTAGATTTGCGTGATGGATTATGAACTTTAAAGTCATTAACTTACAAAACGTGATTAATCAAATACAAAATACCCCTTCAGCTTTCTTACACGAAACCATTTGAAAAGGTTTAGGATAATGAATTCTCTGACATTAATATTTTATACATACCAATAAGATCATATAAAAATAACAACGATACAGAATAATACTGAATAAGCGAAACTAGTCAAACTTCAAGAAAATTCTATTCAAAAGTGCTCTCGACATAACTGCGAAGACCAATCTTACGTGTCAAACCAAACTTAAGTGTGACCCACCATTTATTTTAATCATCCTTTATAGGCTCGTTTCCGATTAGACTCATCCATGATGAAGTAATCGCTAATCATACCTCTTGGTTCACGCTCTTTCTAATAAATATATTTTTAAAATATACACAATAACATTTTATACATAATAAGTTTTATTAAAAATTATAAAATATAAAGCAATAATAACATTAAATATTATAAATTTTAAATAACAATTTTATTATCTTTTAATGTTTTAGCCACACATCCCTTTTCCAAACCTGTCGACAATTCTCTCTACCTGTGTATATATACGATGGAACGTGCCTATAATTGTACTAATACACACATATACACAAAATATCCATCTTTACAGTGACATACCTACAAGCTGTGCTGGTAAATTGTGACACGCAACGCAATCACATTCACATCAAATATCAATCGCTCTTTCTCTTCCTCCTTCTGAATCGTCCTTTATATATATAATTGAAGAATCAGAAGGGAAGCTCGGAACAGTTTAGGAATTGAATAAGCTATAGAATAGTATAAAGGAAGGGTCCAAAACGCCCATCGAAACGCTCATTTTGACTGAAGAAGACGACAAATTACAGAGACAGTTCCACCTAACTCTACCGCTCAATTAGTAATTCATTTCATTTCTGCCACCTAAATGAGTCGCTCATTCAAAGCTTTCAACAAACACTTCTCTCTCCCTTTCCATAAACCACGCACTCTCTCTTCATATGCTTTCATCCCTTCCTCTTCTCTCCCCAATCTCACTGCGTACCGCACTTTCTCCTCCTCTCACTTTCGTTCACTCTCCTGTGAGTACTTTCTCTTCTTCCCTCATCTCTCTCTCTCTCTCTCTCATTGGTTGCTTATGATCAATATAATCTTTTTTTTTTTTTTTCCTTTTCAACGTGCTTTTTGGGAGTACTTTTTCATGGGGTCACTGATTTTTACTTTTTTTTTTCCACTGGGTTATCGGGGTTATGACAAAAAGTTATGTCTTGAGGTTGAATATGACAGTATGTTGTTGTTGGGGTGTCTCGCTGCTGCATGCAGGAGTAACGGGTGTGATGGATTTCATAAGGTGGAGATCGTTTTTATGTCTAACAAATCCATTTATTAATGTTGTTGTCTGTTTCTTATTTTTATACAGCATCTCCAGCTGCTTCATTAATGGAGGTGGTCAAAGCAATTGCTAAGCAAGAACCTGCAGCTCCTGACAGTGTTGCTATCAGAGCTGATCAGAAGAGCTATAGTTACAAGCAGCTCATCTCATCGGCACAGAAGATTTCTGATCTCTTGCGTGGCAATGATGTGAAATCAGTGAGTTGCAGATTAAAATTCCCCTACTATTGTTATTGCTAGATGAAATGCTATATAACTATTAGTCAGAAGACTTCTATAAAAAGAGTTATGCTATTCTTATATATATATATATATAACAAGAAAATAACTAACATTGCAGCAAGGCTGCCCAATCTTTCTGCATATCAAAGATAGCAAGTAACAACTGTGTTGAAAAAAGCAGGGGTAAAAGTCTCGAAACATTTCCATTATATACTTAAGAACAAAGAATCACCCATGCTTAAAATTATTCTAGTCCAATCATCTGCTTAGAATTGAAGAGTAATAGAATTATTAGTCATTTGCTTGGAATTCATGCTTAGTACTGCATTCATGTATGTGTTTAAAATAATCATTTCGTAAGCTCTTTGTGCTATCACTATTCAGGGAAGTCTTGGTGGACCTCGAATAGGAATTGTAGCCAAACCCTCTGTTGAATTTGTTGCCGGAATACTTGGGATTTGGCTTAGTGGAGGTGTTGCTGTTCCACTTGCAACCAGCTATCCAGAAGTAGAGCTTTTGTATGTGATTAATAATTCGGTATGCTTTGTAATTCCTTTTCTTGTGTTTGTTTAACATTTAAATGGCTTGTGAACTTTATGAAGTCAGGATCTCCTTAATTAGCATTTGATATTGTCTTGATTTCTTTTATTTGAACTTTTAAATAGCTGATTTATCTGTTGATGTTTGCCTTAGTGAAAATACATGGTTGAAAGATGCTAAGTAAGAAAAATTAAATATTATAAATTACATTTTATTGGCTGTTTGGTTCAGATATGAAGAAGCTATTATATGAGGGATTCTGCGGTCCACTTGGCCCTAACAAAATAATCCAAATTGCTTTGGTTTAGTTTCTGTGCTTTTGTTGTCTGTCATTATTATGTCCCACTGGCTGCTTTTGCAATTATGTCTATTCTCCAGGGACTAAATTCTTATATTACATGGATTGGTAAATTTCAATATGATTAATGTGATACAGATTGAGTGTAATGTATCTAAGGGAAAAAAAATTGTTTGTGTTAACTAACAAATTAGTTGAACCAGTTATTTATTCTATATTACCGTTGAGCTCTATTTCTGCTTTTGTGGATTAAAATCTTAATAGAAGTTTGATAATAATTTGGCTGTAGGATGTATCTGCAATACTGAGTACTGAAGATCATAGTGAATTAATGCAAAGCATTGCCGATAAAAGCTCTTCTCAGTTTTTTCATCTTCCACCTGTTAAGTCTTCAGAGAAAAGCAGGGATGAACACTTTCAGAATGGGGAAATTGATGCAGACAGAATTTTCCTGGATGACATTGGAAGATCAAGTAAGAAAATAATCGTTTCAGCTTTTAAAATGGATAGAGTAGAATCTTTTGGAAGCAATTTGCTGACAGTTCTTTCTTTGTTTTTCATATCCATTGCATAGGTGAAGATCCAGCACTGATTTTGTACACTAGTGGAACTACAGGTAAACCCAAGGGAGTTGTTCATACACATAGAAGCATCATTTCCCAGGTATGCTCTATGATTTATCTCTAGTTACATTTAGTAATTTGAATTGACAGTTTAATCTACTAAAATAAAATCCTCTTCCTGAACACTGATTCTATAATTGTGCAAATTATTTTGGTGTGATTATCAAATTCTTACATGAACTACTGTTGATGATTTAATTTTATTCACAATGCAATTTTTTCCATGTTGACTTGAGCATGTCAATCCTTTCCTATTATTTTATAATTTTTCAAAAATTTATTTTTCAATTTTGTTTTGATTTTAGGTCCAAACCTTGACAAAAGCGTGGGAGTACACATCTTCTGACCAGTTTCTGCATTGTCTACCACTGCATCATATCCATTAAAGTTTTTTGTGTTCACATTATTCTATATTGGTTAGATAAAATATATTATTATATTCATCTTTAGTATATTTGCTGAAAATGTGATTTGGAATATCTTTATTATGTCAATCTTTAACATATATGATATACATGTTCATGGGCTTTTCAACGGTTTAATGGCCCCTCTCTATGCTGGTTCCACGGTAATATACTCTCTTCATTTCTGCTTCCAAAGAAAAGAAAAAACTAGGAAGAATAGAAACTCTTGTTTTTGTTCAAGTGACCTTTAAATAGGCAGTATCCATCTAAAATAAATATATTTTATTTTTACTGCTAAGAATCTAATTGTATTGTTGAAGGTTGAGTTTTTGCCAAAATTTAGTGTGAGGGGAGTTTGGCAGAGATGGCGTGAGTCATATCCAACTGCAGGATCTAACGCCGATGATGCTATAACTGTGTTCACTGGAGTAAGTATAATTTTTATTAGCATTGTGCCAATATATTATATTGTTCATTCTCACAGTACCTTGGTTTGTGTATATAATTTAAGCTTGGCCATAAATAATTATGATTGCTGCTATAATCACACTTAGACTGCATTTGTAGGCCATATGATGGTTTTTTTTGTGATGCACTTATGTCTAATTATTAAGTTGCACAGTTTGTATCTTTAAAATCAATGTGTATACTATTTGCTATCGACAATGGTTGCTACAACTGGAAAACTTGTCTTGGGTGACCTAATTATGATTAAATCCTTTTTTAATTGAAGGTTCCAACTATCTATGCCCGATTGATACAAGGTTATCATGCAATGGATCCTGAGCTACAAGCTGCTTCAGCATCTGCTGCAGGGAACCTGCGTCTTATGGTAAGAGAATAAGGCACTGTGACATGCATCAACATTTATATCTCTTAAAAGAAGATAAATGGATAATTCTTTGAATTTTAAAAGAATAAAGGATTGTCAATGAATTTTTAATTTAATTAAATTGATATGTAATTCAATGGTGTGGTAATTTATCATGCATAGACACACTACAATTGATGTTGTATGTTCTCCTACATTGGTGCTGATTTCTGACTGCTAATTCAGCGTCAGAAATCTGATATATTTGTTATCATTCAGATGTGTGGATCATCTGCACTTCCTCAACCTGTTATGCAAGAATGGGAAGCCATCACTGGGCATCGCTTATTGGAACGATATGGCATGACTGAAGTAAGTGCACTTTAGTTAAGTCCTTCAAATTTGCAGGGAATTGTGGCATATATTACTACTTTTCTCATTAATTTATAATAATTTTTATATGAATCTTACATTTGATGTTAATGCCTCTAGTTTGTCATGGCAATGTCAAATCCATTGAGAGGTGAGCGCAAGGCAGGAACTGTTGGCAAACCATTTCCTGGTGTTCAGGTTAGTTGAGCATGCACTTTCCCATTTGCCAATGACCATAGAATATGGGCTTTCTGAACTCTCATTGCTCTGTTGCTTAATCTGTTTACATGATCACATATCCTAAACAACAGTGTTGGGATTTTAGAAAATATGGTCGGGGGTTCTGGGCACAAGTTTCAATTTCAGGTTAAGGAAACCAAATTTATTAATCTAACAACACTCAATTTAATAATATATGACTGAAGCTTGAAGGATATGTGTGAAAGTTGTTTACTTTGGAATACTATGAGACAGATGCTTTACCGGAACCTGGACGCAGGAGTTACCTCTAGTGTTTTTTATGCTCAATATGAAAGATAATATCGTGTGGAATTTTAAGGTTGACACTTCTATGTGCGTGACAGGTCAAGATTATTGCCGATGAGGAGAGTGGAAATGATAATACTGGAGGGGGTGAGCTTTGCATCAAAAGCCCTTCATTGTTTAAAGAATATTGGAAACTTCCTGAGGTAGTTTCAGAATGTTAAGTTCTATTTAATGATTCTGAACTCATCATTTAATATTGATGTATAATGCATTACATGGTTATGTGTACCATGATACAATACCCTATTTCCCTGTTATGCACCACCACTATCCCAAGACTGCCATCTTGTTATCTGAGAAGCAGTTATTTGAGCAACAGTAGTTCCTAGAAACTAGAGATGGATCAGAGTAAAAGGAATAGAATATTATTTCTGTTACTGAAAGTTCAAGATTCTGAAGATAGAGGATGGTCACAGAAATTTAAAATCTACTTCTGAGAAATTTTATTATTTCCCTGCAGGTAACAAAGGAATCTTTTACTGATGATGGATTCTTTAAGACTGGAGATGCAGTTACGACAGATGAAGATGGATATTACATTATTCTAGGACGTAAGGAAATTTATATTTCTCTATGCATGCTGTCGTATGCATGTTGTCGTATGAAACAAAATTATCTGAAAAGGTTGCTTAATGTGTTACAGCTGTTTTGTTTTGCCTAATTTTTCTTTACTATCTTCATTGGTAACAAATTTGGATGTGCATGAGAAGTCAATTGTTCCATCTTGATTGACTAAGGATCAATTTGGATAAATTTCTCAATAAGTACTTGTAAGAGTAAAAAATTAAGTTGTAAAATAAATCAAATAAATTGTTTCTAACTTATGAGATAAATTTTATTAATTTTTTATACTGATTTTTTTTTTCTCTCATAAAATTCTCTTAAGAGTTTACTTAAATTGAGCCTAGGTCTAAATGTAAAGCCCTACAACTGAGCTTATCATCTGAGGAGTAAAAGTTACTTTGTGATGGAAATAAAACCAAGTAATAATGTGTATATCTCTACTTGTGTATCAGGTACTAATGCTGATATAATAAAGGCTGGTGGCTATAAGCTGTCTGCATTAGAAATTGAATCAGTTATAATAGAGGCAAGTGGCTACCGATTTCTCGTCATAGTTGTTATACGGTTGCATGCTTGCTTATTTATTTAATTCACTTACGAAGCTGAATATAAGGAATAATAGTATGATATTCACAATCAAAACCTTTTTGCAGCATCCAACTGTCTCAGAATGTTGTGTTTTGGGCTTACCAGACAAAGACTATGGAGAGATTGTTGGTGCAATCATTGTGCCAAAGCCTGATGTCAAACGAAAGCGAGATGAAGAGTCAAAGCCTGCTCTAAGCCTAGAAGAGTTATCCACCTGGGCCAAGGACAAAATTGCACCTTACAAGGTAACATTTACACTGATTGGCTCTAATACTTGAACAACTGATGAGTGCTCACTCTTGGAGAAAGTTCATCAACGTCATATTTTGGGCCTTTGATGAAATCCATGTAATTTTCTTTTGATAATTTTTTTATTCCTTAATAATTAATCTCATGGTAAATAGTATTTATAAGAATTTGATTTTTGATCAGACTTAGTGATATGGTAGTATTGTGTAATTTATGTAGCTAACCTCACTTGGTAGGATAAGATTTTGTTGACGATGTTGTTTGTTGTTAATTTGTTTTTTTTTTTTTTGGTTAGATTCCAACTCAACTAATGTTGTGGGACTCACTCCCTCGCAATGCCATGGGGAAGGTAATTTACTTTTGCTTGTACCGCTTCCTAATAATAGACATCATTTCCTTTTTCTCCCTGAATTATTCTTTATGAAGGGAAGTTAATTATTATTTTCCTGTGAAATTTCAGATAAATAAAAAAGAGCTGAAGAAGCTGCTTGTTTCAGCACAGTGAACTCCATTTGAGTATTATTCACTGGACAAAGTTATTTAAGACGGTGGCAATCTCCACCAATTATTTAAAGCTTATTGTTAGGGGGTAAAGGCAGAGAATATAGCACAACTTTAGCTTTTTAACTTCCATGAGGAGGGTTGAATGTATTTAATGAAAATATTTATTATTTTAAAAATGAAAACAAAATATTTACATTCTTTTAATAATTAAAAATATTGAATGATGTGTAATAAAACCATTCATATTTTTTTTTCATGACAAGTTCTGTAGGTAAACCGAGGAAATATAATGTCAATACTATGAATTTACGAGCAATCGGATATTATTTGCGTCATGCTAGCATAGACAGTGATTGACTGAATTTTACGTGAGATATATTCAATAGTGAAATGTTTTTGAAAAGACTTTGTCAGAAGTAAAGTTTATTACACGCCTATAAAGGATTAGCTTTTTATTGTTGGTTGAAGAATCTGAGCACTCAAAACGAAAAGGAGCAAGGTATACGTTATTTGGATTAATAACAATGCTATGATTGAAACCAAAAGCTTCCACCATAAACAACTACCTTGGCAAATATGTTTGCATAATGCATGTAGTCCTGTTTCGAGTAATTTGCGCATAACCCAAACATATCATCTGACCCTTGCATTCTTGGGCATTTTCTTTTGAAGCTACTAAATTAAAATAACAATTTATCCTCATTTTATACTAACATCGTTATATTATAGTTTCGGGCTGGTTTTGTTCCTAATTTTTCTATTTGCTCAGTTCTTTCTATTTTCTATGGGCGCTGGTGGTGGTTGTGGTGGTGCGGCAATGAGTCAGCGGCGTGTCAAATTTCACGTATTTAGTCTGATCTTATTGTTGGTTTTGGTCTCTTGTTCTTGATCGTGTTCTTAGTCTTGCTCTTGTCTTGTTCTTTTTCTGGGTCTTAGTCCTGTTCTTGTTTTCTTAGTCTTGGTCTTGTTCTTTTGTTCTTGTTCTTGGTATTGCTGGTCTTGTTCTTATTCTTGTGTTCTCTGTGCGTCATAGTCCTAATCTTGTTATCGTTCTGGTTATGCGTCCTGGGTCTTGGTCTTGTGTTCTTGTTCTTGCTCTTGTTTTCTCGTTCTTTGGTCTTGTTTAGAAATTACACCGCTAAAATTAATAATCTTGGTCTTGGTCTTGCTTTCATTTGTGTTCTTGTTCTTGATCTTGTTTTCCTTTCATTCGTGTTCTTGTTCTTTTTCTTGGTCTTATTTTCTTGTTCTTGGTCTCGTTTTCTTGTTCTTTGATCTTGATCTTCTCTGTTTATGTACTCTTATCATTTGTCTATACATCTGCTATTTCTACTCTTGGGTGACTCTGCAATTGATGAAGGTCAGTGCTTTTTCTGCAATTTGTCCGGGTACGGCACCCTGGTTACCGTCTTCTAGATACTGGAGACAGTGACACTGAGACAATAATGACAGAGATATTAGTGTTCCTTTTTTTTGTTTTTACAAGTTTATCTTCTATGTCTTTGGAGCTGAGACACTAGTGCCTTTTTTAGGAAGTACATTGGTGTTTTTTAAAGTTGTGTCCCGTGTCTTTTGTGTTTCTGTTTCTCTACTGAGAAACTAGCCGGACATGATACGCCTATTTCCGTGTCTGCCAAATTACAGTTTCTTGGGTACAAAACATTTGAACAAAGACTAGTGCACTCACTCAAAACCATTTGCAACAATCACTAATGCAAGAACACAGCAACTCAATTGAATCATTGAAGCACTTAATGGGAATCCAGGTACCCCGGTGTTCCAACAACAAAGGTGGACAAATGCGTGCCCTAATCAGTGGGAATGCTTTTTGATAGGCCAAAATCACCCATTTGTTATTCTATCTTCGCATTTAATAAAATATTTGTACTTTTCTCATCTTTATGGATTATAGGTGGCTTATAAGTTACAACCCTTATGCAGGTATTCCAGTCCTGACATCAAATTTTTAACATAAATAGATAGGAAAAATCAAGGGATTGATGGAGAAATTTAGTTTCCTTGCCAACAATGGGCTGCAAGGGATTGATGGAGAAATTTAGTTTCCTTGCCAACAATGGGCTGCATCCAGTGCCATGGCAATAACTTTGTGTTGTTGTTTTTTCTGTACAATCAAATCAATATTTAGTGCTTTTTAGGTAATTTGACTGAATCTCTTTAAAAAAGAATAAGGTTGTGAACATTACTGCCTAAAAGAAGTTCATCCAGATTTCCATTTGCCATATATTCTTATAAATAAGTCCTATATTGGTTTCCTCATTGCAATACCCAATAGGAAAAATCAGTTTTCTGTGATGAACTCCCATCAGAAGTTTAACATTCAAAGGTCACTTTTATGTCAAGACAACAACTTTGGTTTAGTTCAGATAGAAACTCTTGTGTAAGTAATGACCACCTGCCTCTGCCAGAAATTGATCATATTGATGATGGAGAAAGCACCTTGACAGCCACTTGAGTGTCATCAATAACTCCAGATAAACCTTTCCAAATTCAGCTCTACCTAGAATTCTATTAAATTTGTTGGTGATTTAACATGATCATTAAATCCATATTGCTGCATATGCTAATTTTGTAGAAAAGGTAGCATAGGAGAATAAAGTCAGAGCAATAATTGCGTTTTACTATCACATATTTTTTTCTAGCTATCTGAAAGGGGTATATAGAGGGAAGAGAAAAAAATAGTGAGAGAATATTCTTAATTCATTTTTGCATACCTCGATATATATTATGAGTGCCTTATATGCACTATAACAGAAAAAGTAATAACGTAAAAGAAAATTCTGTATTATTAAATTTCATACAAAATAACAGAATTGATCCTATTATCAGAGGTGGCTTTACACATGAGGTGGTTCTACACATGGCTAATAACGAATGTAATCCTTTAAACGGATATGAGCTTGAATCTTTCTTTTAGATTTTTCTTCACTGATGTCAGCTATTATGCTTGAGCCAAGATTAATAGACCTTTGAGTACTTTCTTCTGAGGTAGTGGGTGTGGTATTAGGAGTAGTTATACTATTACTATCAATAATTTCTGTTGACACTTTTTACTTTCAAGTCTATGAGAAAATGATTTTGCAAAGATAAGAAATGATGAAGAAACTATAATCTTTATAATGTGAATTAAGTGCTTGCAGCATGCATATATGATGTGGAGAAAAATAATTACACTATAATTGATAGACTTTGCATATATAATAATATGATAAAGAAAAATTAAGACATAATCACTAGTATAAAATAAAATAATAATTTTGTTAGAATGCTGCATTATGTAAAGCTTGAAGCGTTTTTTATAATATTACTTTACATTAATTTGAATTTATAACTTCTAAATTTCTTTATAGTAAAAAACATCAAAATCATAAAATAAATCTATGAATAATATCTCATTTCATTTAATAAAATTATTTAAAATAATTTAGCATATAAAAGTGATAATTTTCTCAATCTACCTATCGTTTTAGTAACCAAATTTCAAATTATTGCAAGAAATTAATTTTTTATATTATTTTATAATTATTAATCAGTTTATCAATTAGTTTTATTAAACATTTTTAATTCAATTAGTCACGGTTTAGTTTTCATGTTCTTGGGCTCACTGTCGTAGTTTCACACGAGGCCGAGCCCAATTTGGGCCGTAAAAATGAGGCCCGTTGGGCTTATGTTAGGCCAGGGTCCAGTGATAGTTACTGAATTCATGTTGTTCTTCCCTGAACGTTAAAACGGTGACTGCGTTCTGTTCTTCTTCATGTTTGTGAGTGTTGGCTTTGAAAACTGAAAAGCAGAGAGAGAAATGGAGAAGATGAAGATAGAAGAGGTTCAGTCGACGACGAAGAAACAGCGTGTTGCTACTCACACTCACATTAAAGGCCTAGGTCTCGAGGTTCGTCCTCTTACTCTTCCCCTTCTGGGGTTTTATTAAGTTTTTTTTTTCTTCGTAGTTGCTGCGCCCAAATAATTGCATATTTTGAACTTCATATGCCATAGTTTTACGTTTTGTGCATGCTAGCTTGCTCATAGTAGGTATAAACCTTTTGCTTTTGCTTTTGGTGCTTCAATTTTAAGTGAACAACTGCGTTTACTTTTGTTTAAGTTATTACTATTGTTATTATTATTATCTATTGTTATTATTTGATGAATATACAGGCCAGTGGAAAAGCATTGCCTTTTGCTGCTGGATTTGTGGGACAAGCAGAGGCAAGAGAAGCATCTGGGCTTGTGGTTGATATGATACGGCAGAAGAAGATGGCTGGCCGGGCACTCCTTCTCGCCGGACCGCCTGGTACCGGCAAGACTGCATTGGCACTTGGGATAAGTCAGGAGCTTGGGACCAAGGTTTCCCTCCCAGCCAACACTCTTTCTTATATTTGAAGTTTGTTTTACTTTGTGTTGTGACCAATCTTGCTGATTCTGTTTAAATCTATACCACTCTGCAGGTTCCATTCTGCCCTATGGTTGGCTCCGAAGTATACTCGTCGGAAGTAAAGAAGACTGAGGTTCTTATGGAAAATTTTCGACGGGCTATTGGCCTGCGTATCAAGGAAAATAAGGAAGTATATGAGGGAGAGGTGAGTTCATTGAAATTCCCTTGTTAAATTAAAACTGGGATGGGATTGTGCTTTGTACATATTAGGTCCCGATGATGTTTTGCTGGTCTTGTGTAAGGTAACTGAGCTCTCTCCGGAAGAAGCCGAAAGTGTTACAGGGGGTTATGGTAAAAGTATTAGCCATGTGATAATTGGATTGAAGACGGTGAAAGGAACCAAGCAACTGAAGTTGGATCCTACCATATATGATGCCTTGATTAAGGAAAAGGTGAGCTGTTTTATTTTTCTATCATGCGAAGCTGTTTTAATTTTAAATCTATACAATATTTGTGTCAGCCAATTTGATGTTTTGATTTGGGATTTCTGCCAATGTGTAGGTAGCAGTTGGGGATGTTATATACATTGAGGCAAATAGTGGGGCTGTAAAAAGGGTGGGCCGAAGTGATGCTTTTGCTACAGAGTTTGACCTTGAAGCTGAGGAGTATGTTCCACTTCCTAAGGGTGAGGTTCACAAAAAAAAGGAGATTGTTCAGGTATTTAACTTGAAGACCAACTTTATATTTATGTAATGCCTCTAAAAATTCGCTGATTTAGCTTAGTTATTATATTTGAATCCCTAGTAATTGATCATACCTGAAATTAATATATTCTAAAACTCACTGGTTTTTTATTTTCTGAAGTCATGAAATTCCAGTTATGTGGTCTAAAACCAGAGTTGTGATTGTCAAAATTTGTTGCAATTATTAAATTGAAGCCATGCCAAAAAGGGGGATAGGGTTCACTTTAGAAATGGTTTCTGTGGTCATCTAATTTTTTTTATTCTAGATTTCAATCTAGAGGAGATAAAATTTTGGACTTATTTGTTTTCAGAATGCTCAAACTTTTTGAATTACAGTTTTAAATACAAAATAGTCAAAGGTCAATACTCTGTAAGAATGTGTTCTAGACATTGGCCATGCTATATATTTCTGATTTCTTATTGTGATTTGGATTGTTGTTGTTTTTAAAGGATGTAACTTTACATGATCTGGATGCTGCGAATGCACGGCCTCAAGGGGGGCAAGATATTCTGTCTCTTATGGGTCAGATGATGAAGCCCAGGAAAACAGAAATCACTGACAAGTTGAGACAAGAAATTAACAAGGTATTTCCGTAACAAATGATACATGTCTGTAGTTTCTTATTTAAGTAATTAAAGAGAATAATTAAGGTTCTAAAAAATGAACTTTTCTCTTAACAATTTCCTCAATTACTTTCAATTGTCCTGTTTCAGATATTCTATGCATAAATTGAAATTGATGGTTAGTAAAGTCATGCTTGTGACCAGAAAAAATCAAAAGAAAAAAGGTTAAATTATATATCTTGTCCCTTAACTTGACACACATTTTCAAATTAGTCTCTATACTTAAAAAAGTTATGTTTTAATCCCTATACAAGTGTTTTGTTACGTTTTGGTCCATGTGGTTTATGTTTTGGTCTTTGCTGTTGTAATGACGTTAACAATCGACTAATTCCTAAACTTTAGTTGTTTTTAAGTACAAAGACAAACACACAAGTTTTTTACTAATTCCTAAACATGTCAAATATAGGAATCAAATATGTATTTTAATCCATTATAATTTTAAAGAAATTGCACAATTCAAACTTAAGTATCCCAATTAGGTTTTTGTGCAACTTTTGTAGGGATCGAACACTTAACTAAGCCTATATTTTTCATATGATATATCAATTTCTATAATATTTTTGAAGAACACTTTTTTCATATAAGAAACAAAATATTTATTATATTTGATATGTGAAATTACACTATTACCTAAAATTTTAAAAGATCAACTTTATTACATGAATGAATTTGTATATTTTCTATTATGATATAAAGAAACAATTCTCATTATATTGACCCAAAATCTTGTTAGTTGGTCTTTTTACTACTTTTGTATCAAATAGATAAAAAAAAGCTTAGATATTTTTTATCTATGATAAAAGTCTATATCATATGTAGATTATTCTTAGTATTTTATTAATTATACTTATTATTATTTGATTAATTTATGTATTTACCAAATCAATAAGTTTTATCAATAAATATATATGATCTTATATCATGAATGACATTTGATTTAAATATATAAGTTTTTAGTATTTTTAAAATTCATGACTCTTTTATTTGGTGACTCATTTTTAATTTTTTCTAGACAAGTTCACGATTTTGTTTTTTAATTTCTAGTTAAAATATACTTTTGATCCTTATAATTAAAACTTGTTTATGAATTAGTCCCAGCACTTAAGAAAACTTATATTTTAGTCTTTGTATGACTACTTTGTTACATTTAGTCCTTGCCGTTATAACATTGTTAATACTATTAATGGCAAGGACCAAAATGTAAACGATAGAGATCAAAACGTAACAAAATGTTTATATAGATACTAAAACGTAACTTTTTGAAGTATAGGGACTATTTTGTAGACGAATGTCAATTATAGGGATTAAATATATAATTTAACTAAGAAAAAAAGGAGGCATAGTATAAAATCAACAAGGTATTTGTTTATGTTGGTGACAGGTTGTCAACCGATATATCGATGAAGGTGTGGCAGAGCTTGTCCCTGGAGTCCTATTTATTGATGAGGTGACTTTGTCATTAACTTTCTCACCTATTAATGTCATTGTCTGCAATTCTATTGCATTTAATTAATCACTTTTTAATCCTTTTTTGCAGGTTCATATGCTAGATATGGAGTGTTTTTCATATCTGAATCGTGCTTTAGAGAGCTCCCTATCTCCAATTGTAATCTTTGCTACAAATAGAGGAATATGCAATGTAAGGTATGATTAAACTAACGTTGCTCTACTCTTATAGAAGTTTTGGTCCAGTGGTAAATTTGGAGAAGACAAAATGCAATGTGATAGTTGGTCACTAGTCATTCTTGGTGCATTGTTAGTTGGTCACTAGTTATCTCCTTTTTAACTCTGTCATATGACTTTGGTGCATGTTGATGTTTAGGGTTTATCATTCATACATCAATGTAAAATTGAAATCAATGGTCATATTGATTACTTGTTAGATTGATATAGTTTCATTCATTACTTCACCATGCTTAAAATTGTGTTATTGCCTGCTTTTTATACAGGGGAACTGATATGACCAGTCCTCATGGCATACCTGTTGACCTGTTGGATCGGTTGGTGATCATCCGAACGCAAACCTATGGTCCTGCTGAAATGATACAGGTAAATGGTCTTCATCTTTCTTTTGAATAGCCTTTCAATATGTAAATTGTTATGTATTTGGATAAGCAAATGCATGGTTCTTACCTGTGGGACAGATTCTAGCAATCCGTGCTCAAGTAGAGGAACTGGTTGTGGATGAGGACAGTTTAGCTTACCTTGGGGAGATTGGACAACGGACATCATTAAGGTCTGCATTCTAGATTGGCTATTCTCCTATGTTCTTATTTCTTATGTACGTATACTTGTTGCTTATCAGGCATGCCGTTCAGCTGTTATCACCTGCCAGCATTGTTGCAAAAATGAATGGCCGAGATAACATCTGCAAGGTAATTATGAACTTGGACCATTTGATGTTAAGCACTTTGAAATAATTTGTTTACTACATACCTATCTTCAACTAAACAAGTTATTATTATTGTCAAATTTATAGGCGGATCTTGAGGAAGTTTGTTCGCTATATTTGGATGCCAAATCTTCAGCCAGGTTACTTCAAGAGCAGCAGGAAAAATACATCTCATAATTCTGTTTTCAAACCGTTGCCTGGTGGTTGGGTTTGAATGTAACTGGTTTGCTTGATTGCTTCTGCTGTCTCCTGCATGGCGTGGGATAATTGGTTCACGAATACATCTGGATGTTGTCGATGGTATCAGGGACCTAAGATAAAGGACCTGACTCATTGATTAACAATTACATTGGTTATAGTGTGCTGTAATTTGTTGTTAAATTCATGATTTTGTTATATTTCATGACATTCTGACTGCTGAAAATGAGAAGGCAACTTGGAAATGTAATGAGGCGGTTTGTTTCCTCTTTCCCATATGTTTTCTTCTCTATATTTTGTTTTGCTTTTCTTAGTTCTGTTGATAATGCACAAACGCAGTAGTTGCTATGTTGATGTAGATGATATGTACTCTTCTTGGGGGCTTTTAAAAGAAAGCAAGAAGACTCGATGTAAGCAAGAAGCCAATTAATACTCAACAGTATGTGTTGTATTACTCCCTTGTCAATACCCTGAAATCCGGTTTTCTAGCCAGTAACGTACGATTACATCACTTTACATTTTTGTCTTAATTTCTCGAAGGTGTGAAGAAGATTTGAGTTTGTAAAGAAACTTTTTTAAATTATTTCTCCTACTAGATTTTTGTGGTAAAAAATAGATTATATTTTTTTGAGGAGATTTAGAGAATTGCAGAACTTCTTCAAGTAGGTTTTATTTCGAGCAGTTCTTACAGAACATGAAGAGGCTTAAAACTGGTTAAAAAAATGTCTGACAAGAAAAATATTTTAAATCTATAAGACTGATTGAAAATAACTAAAACTTGTCGAAAAATAAGAACTGACAAGAAAAATATTTTAAGTCTACAAAATTAAGTGAGATCTTAGACTTTCTTCATAATTACTCAAAAATTAAGAATTAATGAGAAAATTATTCTAATTTCACAATACTAAAAGGGTTCTTAGATTTTTTTTAGAATTGGTTGAAAAGTAGAAACTGAATAAAAAATTATTCTAAGTCGGATTCTCTTAGAATTAGTCAAAAAGTAGAAATTGAAGAAAAAATTATTGTAAGTCCATAATACTAAATGAGCTTACAAATTTCTCTTAGAAATTGCTTGAAAAAATAGGAACTTAAAGAAAAATATTCTAAGTTTACAAGAGACATAATAAAGCTCAAAAAATGATGTTGAAAGAGTTATAAGGCTTAAAGCAGTTATTAACTGTTACCATCAATGGAAGGTTTAAGATACAAAGAAAGATCGTGGGCGATATCAGTTATAGAAGAAGCTCCAATTGGCAATATGATCATAACTAATCATGAATAATAGACAACAACCAAGCACGTATGGAAGAAAGTTACTAAGAAGTGTCCACAAAAAGAAGAGAATAGTTATTAAGAAGTGTCGACTAAAAAAAGAGAAGAGTAGTAGTCTATTTGCCTATAAATACTACAATGCTTTATTATTTAGAGAACGACTTTTTGTATCAGACACTATACACAAGCTTTCTGCATCGTGCAAGATACCAGCTACCAAGAAATTCATAGTCATTGGTGTTCGTTGTTTCTAGGAGTCGAATGTTATTTCCTTGCCCATTTACTTTTCTGTTCTTTATTTTTAGTTTGTTCTATGTTTATTTCTTGCAATTTTAGTCTTATTTAGTATGTTGGTGTAAACTTTCATTCTTTAATTCAGTTTTTATGTTGTTATTATTCATTATTCTTATTTAATATCTTTTTACGATGTCAATTTGAGCATTGCATTTAAATAACACATTTCAAAAAATGTAAGAATACTTAAACACATTTGTTAAAAATAATTTTATATTCACATAATATAGTTTTTTTTTTCCAATCAATATGAGGTTATTGCTTTTAAAATTACTAAAGTAGTTTAATTTTTTTAAAAAGTTATCAAAATGAAATAAGTTGTACTCAGAATATTTACCTTTGTATACAAGCAGTTGCAAGTCTAAAAGCATTTGTAACATCAGTACACGACTGCTTTTTATAATGGATATAAATCACCGCAAATTACTCATGTAAACAAATAATAAAATAAGGTAAGCTGTATTTATATTGATATTTATTTTTCAAAAATTATATTAACTTAATAATTTTAAAAGCCAAATTTCTCCATCACGACGTCGTGATAATAATAATAAATTAATAATACCCCGCGCAGCCGGGCAGGTCAAAAGGCCAATAAAATCACTTCAAGTTGTATAGGAAAGAAATTAATTATTGTGGTTTTCTGACAAAACAAGGTTGACTTGGCACCCATATAATAGTTATAGGCTGAAGAAAGAGTAATGAAGAGAAACTAAGAAAAATTCTGTTTCATTGTGGTTTGTGATTGTGGGCAAACTTGAGAAAGAGAGATGGAAGATCCAGCTGTTGAAGTAGCCACGAGATGGATAAAAGGCCTGGCAGATGGAACTATTGGTCGTGAGTTTGAGGCTTCAACCACAAAGGGTATCCGGGTAGTGAAGGCTCATAAAGGTTTCCTCCTCTGTGACTTCATTGTACACAATGACCTGTCGGTAATACCAACCTCTGACATGAACCATTTATGTTTATGTGATGTCCATGACAACCCTTGCGTTCATTCATGTGCATAGGATGAGAATGGAAATTGGCATGTGGGTGCGATAGCAACATTAGTTGACATCATTGGCAGTTGTGTCTCCTACTCCTTTACTTCATGTTTCAATGTCACTCTTGATTTCACCGTGTCATACTACTCAACGGCTAAGGTTCAGGTACTCTTTCTTTGGTGTTTGTGAGCAATTTGTATTGTAGCCTTGAGTTGAGTCAAAACATATTTGGCTTTTTCTTTTGACACATTACAATTATAGGAAGAGGTTGAACTTGAGGCAAAGGTTATAGCAGAGAAGGATCAGTTGACTTCTGTGATTGTGGAAGTTAGGAAAAAGGAGAATGGAGAATTGGTTGCTCTGGGAAAGTTGTGGATTGCAGAGGCTAGAAGGAATCCAAGACGCCAATCGAGTAAACTATGACTACTCTTGTGTATTGAATACAAGAGTCCACACGAATAAATTCAGTACTAGTCTTTATATTTATGAAGACCGAAGAGAAACCGATTCAATCAATCTCATTTAAATTGACGCGTAACAGATCAATCAAGTTCCTTATCTATCGTTAATGAAGCTGATATTTTTTTATGTGCACTATTGTCTTATGAAATTCTGTGTTGTGTTTTTGTTCGCTGTTATGTCATGTTTTGACTACCCTTTGGAGTGTCATTAGGTTATGTAATCACGAGGTGGCACCAAAATAGCTTACTTGTTTACTTGTTCTGTTCTTATGAAGTTTATTTTGCCATGTATTTGTATTTGAAAGAAAAGCTTCCGCAGTTGAATGAAAATCTAGTTTCCCGTTTTCTGAACTTCTCTTGTGCCAACATGCATTGAAATTAGTCATGCTGCAATTAGCAAGTTCTTAAACCGATATAGATTGTGCATAAATTGCGCAGAGTCTTCTCATAGATACAACTAACTTATTAACAGTTGTAACAGCCTAGCTCTTTGTACTCCGTATTGTATAATGAACTGGTACAGTTTGCTAAGTTTACTAAACATTTAAACCAAATTAGCTTATTTGTTAACAGTAATTTGAATAAATAAATAAAACGGTAGTTAGTTGATCTGCTTGATACTCTTTCCATTAAACTAGACATCACTTTCATATGATGAATTATCTAGTTTTGCGAGCCATGGGATCAGTAGTAAAAAGCAGTTCAATTGTATTTGGACTCATGGGAGGATATCATCAGAGGGAATTATCATTTCGTTTATCTGAGGAGTACTCAACAAATCTAGTTGTTTGCACGTTTTAGAATAACAATTTTACTATGGAGCACATTTGCATCTTGACATCCTAACACAGTTTACACTCGTAGCATCTGCGACTACTACTAATCAAAACATGAAAATATAAATGTGGCCATCCAAATAGTTTATGCTGTTACAAGGTTCAGTTAACTCTTCCTCCTTTGAGTCATTGTTTTCACTAATCTTGAATACCTTTTTCAGCCGAACCGCCATTAACAAATGTAGTTAACTCTTTCTCCTTTGTGTCAATTTCTTCAATAACATTGGATGCCTCGTCAACCTGACCATTGCCCAATTGAGTTAATGGTTCCTCATTTGTACCATTTTCATCAGTTACCTTGGATACTTGATCAGCTGTGGGTCCATAAGCCCAACTGCATACTAGATAATAAAGTAAATTAACAGCACTCATTGAAGCAAGAACCCAGTAGTACTTGTCATAACGCCCCTTGTTAATATTATCCAAAACCCATCCCTCCTTGCCTCCTCTTGAAGTAACATTTTCCACAGTGCTGAATACCAAACTAGACACCAAGTTTCCTGCAGCCATTCCCAGTCCAAAAAGGGAAGAAGCAATACTTGACATAGTTTTAGGAAACTCAGTGTAATAGAACTCATTTTGGCCTATTGCATTGAATGCTTCAGCCATGCCATTCAAGCAAAGTTGAGGAAAAAGCCACATTGCAGACATATTCAACACTGCGTGAGAATTGTTAATGTATCCTTCCCTAATTGCTCTTCTTCGCCTTTTAGTCTCAACAATTGCTGCAGTTACCAAGTGGAGAAAAGAGAAAAACAACCCAATTCCCATTCTTCTCTTGGCACTGATCCTAACTGGTTTGCCTCTGAGCATTGATGCAAGAGGAATAACGACACGATCATAAAGAGCCACCCATATAAATATTGTCAATACCAGGACTACAGAAAAAGAACCAGCTGGAACTTCAAAATGTGAAGTTATATGTCTGTTGAGGGATTTAGCTTGAAGCAATCCAAATGAGCCTCCAATGTTGAGTGACATCATAATCCCACTGGACCACAGTGGAATAACTTTAATAATAGCTTTTAGTTCTTCTACTTTATCAACTGTGCAGAGACTCCACGGATTTGAGGCTGATCCATCAGCAGCTATATCTTTTTCTGGATCTTTAATGATGCAAGCTTTATTCAGAAACCTAGAAAACAAGCATCACCAAAAGTTCAGAATTATTTCATCCAGTGAATTAGCAAAAGATAATAATGATGCTGTGATTCAACCTTAGTTTATCGGTTGGAACAAGAAGATCAGAGGCCTTCTTAGAATGGTACATTCCAACTGAGTTCTTTGGGGGTAAAGTGAGTTTTCTGTTCTTATATGTCGCAACAATTACTTGTGCAAAGCCAGTGAACAAGCTGCCTTGTATTTTATTCTTTACATAAAGTGGAGAAGCAAGAAAGAAGAACAAAGTGGACAAGAACATAAGTGCTGCTGGAACACCAAAACCCAGTTTCCATCCAAGATGATCTTGGATATATACTATTATTGTGAGAGCAATTATGACAGCAAGAGCTGTGGAAGCATAGTACCAGCTGAAGAATATTTCCAAGGCCCTTTGGTTGTTGGGGTTATCTTTTCTATTCACCTGGTCTGCACCAAATGCTAGGGAGCATGAAAGACCACCATTTCCAATAGACATGAGAGCAAAGGAAGTGAATAACATTGTTGTTTGCCCAGCTGTTGCTGATTTACATCTTTCAGTTGCAGGGTTGCAAGGACGAGGCCGAGCCTGCGGGATCATTGCTGTTAACCACATGAGTGTCATTCCCTGTTAACAAAATAAAAAAGAAAGTTTTCATAAAATCAACTAAATTTTCCTTGATTAATTTGAATGTCCTTTGATTCTCACAAAATGGAAAAGAAAGTGAAAAAGGTTAGTATTTAGAATGGGTGCATTAAAAAAAAAATATTTTAACATTGTCTTACGTTTCATGCATCAAGATAGTTTATTTATCTCGATATAGGTCACTTAGGTGAAAATCACACGGTTGTGAATTTATCTTAAATGAAATTTTTTTTTTTTTTTTTTTTTTTTTGCGGATGTGCAATGCAAGTCCAGTGGAATAGCCATTGAGATTCTTTTCGGTTGTGGCAGGAAACGGGAGAGGATCCAAATCCCCATTGAACATGCACTTTGATATTATATTATTTTCAAGTGTCTAATAAAGCTGCACTACACTATTTCATTTTTGTTTCATCAGTAAAAGAGTGAGCAAAATTCAGATCAAGCGCACCTTGCATGGCCCCTACTCTTAGATGGGAACTAAGTGAAACTGAGTAACTGACTACTTCACTATCATTTCAACAACCGATGAATTTTCAGAAGACTAGCAAAATTGTTCATAACTGATCTGCAGCAGAACTAAACGGTACTTAATAATTCCTTTCTGTAAAAGGATTTTCTTCCTTGTAAATCTATCTAGTATTCAGAAGGTATGGACCTTAGATGGCTCTCTTGCCTTGTATCATTCTTTCATTCTCAAAAGGATTATAGTATACTTCCAAGAGACTTGAACGGAGTCAGGGGTTTTGAAATTCAATTCATGCGATGCAATCTTATATGTATATACAAGCATCATTAGACGAATTCTGCAATTTCAGAACTAATTATTATTTCTTAATTATCTAAAAAAGTCCTTCCCTCTCCAAACCAAAAAGAATAGAAATATTAGTTATTTAAATATTGCTTTCATCAATAAATTACATGTCAACATTATTAAACAAAAGTAATCTCTTCATGCAAAGCAAAACTTACTTAGAGATAGCAACTTTGATAAAACTACAAACATTTTCCAATTAATCTCAATTGCTTTCATCCTCACGAGTAAGTTTTTTTCCTTATCATTACTTATGAGAATAATTGAATGGATAAAAGAGAAGACGATTGAACAATACAACTGTCAATTCAAAAGAGAAAACAAAGGAATCTGAAAAGAAAGTAGGAGAAGGAATACCAAGAAAGTGATTATGGAACCTAACCCAACAGCTAGAAATCGCCCCAGGTAAGAATCAGCAATAAAGGCACCAACGACTGGTGTGAGATTGCTACTTGCAGAGGATAACAAGAGCACTTGGGTTCCTTTGGCTAAATGAAACTTGTAACTCCCAGTCAAATACATTATCATGTTAGGAAGAAGACCAATTGTTGCCACTCTTGCAAGTGCTTCATTTGCTGCCAGTCACATCAACACCACACCAAAACCAAAAACAAGATTATAGAATCCATCACCAAAACAGAATCTAAGGAGAACCAAATCCATGTTTTTCTTGTGATGTGGAACAAGTTTATTTACCTATGATGAAAGGCATGGTCACAAGACCACCCTTTTTCCTTTGTGGCTGTGGAATGCTTTGGGAAGCCATTTCCACTTCACTTGAACAAAGCTCCACTTCCTTCTCCATTGTTGAGTCCTTCATAATTGAAACAAAAACAAAGAAACCAAGCTAGACAAACACAGTGAGACAGTGAACTCTTAACATTCGTCATGCAGCATAGAAAGATGGAGTGGATAGTTTAACAATAAGCTTGAACACATATATAAGTATAACGTATTGGTTTTTTAATAAAAAAAATATTATTTGTTGATTTATTGCCACCATAGACACACATTAAACAAGTTGACACTGCATATTGTTCGAGCGCAGCAAGTTGTCTCTGTTACAACATTATTAATTAACGAAAGCATATCCTATGCTCTCACTATCACACGATATTTACAATGGTTGCATTATCATCATTAATTACTTCATTGCTAATATGAATGTATCAATTATCATAATTTTCATTTTTTTACAAATGCTAATAAATATTTTTAAAGCACTTGTATTAAAGATTGAAGACATGTAAAATATTTTTTAAAATTTTTAATATATTAAGTACCGTATATATTTTATTATGCGTCATAATTTTAAATATGATTGGTTTAATGTGCTTTGAAACAAGTGCGTTTGTCGCAGAGCACTTGCATTACCGGCCAAAGTGGCAGTGTTAGGGGACACTTGACAGTACTCCACTTATTGGAAGTCAAATACGTGTATTTGCATTCAATTAAAAGTTTTCAACTTTATCTTTTTCTGGTTTCAGATTGTGGAGAGGACTCATGTTTGGGAGAAATCTGAACGTGCGTAGGTTAAAGATTGATCAACTTGGTAATTGCCTAAATAAAATTTAGATTTTATTCTATTTAGATTTATTAATAGTTATAGTTTTATTAAAAATTAGTATTTATTGATTCTTATTATGTGTCTAAAATACATATTAAAAAAAGATTTAATAATTCTGGTTGACTTTTGAAAATTATTTAAGGCTGATTTCGTTTAAATTCTTGTAGAAATCATTTAAAATGAATAAAATTAAAAGAGATTAATTTTAGAGGTAAATTAATAGTGTTTGAAACATATTTTTGATGGTATGATAAAAACTATTTATATACTAGAAAAGAGAAGTATATTTTAGCTAAAACCGTATAAAAAGGATATCAGAACACTTTTATAACATGGCAAGTGCTTTGGAATCTTGTGATAATTGGTAATTCCGTATTAGTTTGGATTTGAAAAGCAAGTTTATAGTGCGTTACACTTGGGATTTGGATATTCATCTTTAAAATGCTCACTATATTCCCAAACACGGTTGAGAAATACACGAGAAGACAAACCATATGATTATTGATTTGAAACTTGAAAGCAATTCTTAATTAGTATGAATTATTTGTTGTTCTTCTTGTTATTGTTTTTCTTTTTTAATTTTAGTTTTTGTAAATTATTATTATTATTATTTCTCGATAATATAACATAATTAAATGTCAGATTGTTATGAAGTGGTAACAAAAATTATTTTATAAGATTTCAAAAGAGGGAAAAAAAAACTTGAAATGAACAGAAGTCCATTATGAACATTACATGAATCATGACAATTTTTTTGTTCAAATTATCAACATTACATTAAGCATTCATTCATTTACCATAACAGATAAAAACTTGTGCGAAGAGGAGAGGCTAAAGAAAGAAAAGCTAAGCTGTTAGAAGCTACAATAGGATAATGAGGATCACTACTATCTACTCATTGGAACTTACTTGGAAGTAGCATCACTTGAAACTTTATTTATGTTTAGTCTATAAATGATATCTAAAAATATAACTTTTAATTAAAGCCTACTATAGTCCTTTTCCTAAGCCTATTATCAATCGATGTAATCTTCAAAGGATTATATAAAATCTTAACATACTAACTTCTAAGACGAATTTAAGAAGGGGAAGGGTGGGCCATACTCCCCAAAACCTATTTTTTCTTAATAGTTATATAAGGATCTTAATTTTTTTAATAAAAAAATATGTAGTTTTTTGTTCAAAATTTACACTAACAATTTTTTTTATTAAAAATTATTACATTTACAATATTAATACATTAAATTATATTAAATTTTTTAATTTGTAATAAAAAATTATATATAACTTTTTACCTTGTGTAATGTTGCATAAGTTAAAAAAAATAATATTCTTAATGAGTACATGGTTCATTTTTTATTGTATGTCTCTATAAAACATAGCTTCACTATATATTTAGTGCTTATAATATTTTTGAAAATCTCTCAAATTATTAAGTTTTTTTATAAAAATATTTCATATGAAAAATTCTTCTTAGAATCTCAAACTACCAATCTAATTATTTTACTTTTTATATAATACTTTTTAAAATCTCTCAGTACCAAAAAACCTAAAAATAGAAACCAGTTGTATAAAGACTATTGGAAGAAGCGAATGAAGAATGCAATCGTGTATAGAAAAACGTTAACAGTTTACTCTAATATACTATTTTAAACAGACCTTTTATTGTTTATTAAATTTATAAAAAAATATGTAAATTTCAGTATTAACTTTTTAATTTTTGATAAATTTTAATTAATACTTTAAAATGTATTAAAATAAATATATTAAAGAATATATTGCTAATATTTTTCTTTGTAAATAACAATATCCCTATATATACTATAGAGAAGTTGATTATTCAACATTGATCTATGACCAAACCAAAATGAATCCCAAAACTCAACCATGGATGAAGATAAAAAAATCTATCCACACTGATCATAATCCTTATAAACAAAACCCTCGTCCAAGAAAGATATATATATATATATATATATATATATATATATATATATTTCACGTACATTTTCATATACACTCGTAGAAGAACTATGCATATTGCTAATGAGATGTTTAAACTTCCGTGAAGACTGAGGACCTTGCCAAAGAAAGATTTCCAAGTCTTCAGGGATGATTAAAATATGACGACCAGAGCATAGATTGAAAGGAATTTCCATGAATAAACGTGCAATTGCCGCTAAAATATAGAAACTTTTAATGATTAACATGTAAGATTCTAATAAATGGTTATGTTTGTTGTAATTGTACTACATATATCTATGCCGTAGAGTGAACCAAAATCTACTCACTCTAGAAATTACTTATAGTTCATCTGAAGCATATGCCTGAGGATATATAAATCAAAGATTCAGAATACAGCAAAAGTGAAATAATTCAGCAGCTAAAATTTCCTTTATCATTAGTAACTCATCACACGTGTGAAAGACAGGTCTGGCAATCCTTACATTGTATAGTTTTAAGAATTTTATCAAGCCATGTGAAATGTTCCTCATACAAAAATCAGCTGCAGGTTTCTTTTGCCCAATAAATAATAAAGGAGAATAAAAAAACCATGAAGCTATCACCAAAAACAGTATTCAAGGATGAGCCACAAAGGAATGAAGGGCAAGGCTCCTAAATATAAATCTTTTTGTTCATTTTATTTTATTGAAAACACTAAATCTTATCTCTATCAGTTACAGTTCAGTTTATGTGATGAAGTTCTTAAAATTTCTTCACCAACCTAGGATACCTTATTTATCACATGGACCCTAGATCCGGAATTCCATTAATGGTAATTCTTCCTCATTCGAACCATTTTCTTCAGCTATCTTCGATTCTTCATCAGCAGTAGGTCCATAAGCCCAACTGCATACTAGATAATACAGTATATTAAGAGCACTAATTGTGGCAAGAACCCAATAGTACTTGTCAAAATGACCCTTGTTAATGTTATCTGAAACCCATCCATCCTTTCCCCCTCTTGAAGTAACATGATCCACAGTAATGAATACCAGAGTAGATATAATGTATCCTGCAGCCATTCCCAGTCCAAAAAGGGATGAAGCAATGCTTGACATTGTCTTAGGAAACTCAGTGTAATAGAACTCATTTTGGCCAACTGCATTGAATGCTTCAGCTATGCCACCCAAGCAAAGTTGAGGAAAAAGCCACATTGCAGACATATTCAACACTGCATGAGGATTATTAATGTATCCTTCCCTAATTGCTCTTTTTCTCCTTTTAGTCTCAACAATTGCTGCAGTTACCAAGTGGAGAAAAGAGAAAAACAACCCAATTCCCATTCTTCTCTTGGCACTGATCCTAACTGGTTTGCCTCTGAGCTTTGATGCTAGAGGAATAATGACACGGTCATAAAGAGCTATCCATATACATATTGTAAATATCATGACTACGATAAAAGAACCTGCTGGAACTTCGAAATTTGGAGTGATGTGTCTGTTGAGGGATTTGGCTTGTAGCAATCCAAAAGAGCCTCCAATGTTAAGATACATCAGGATCCCTGAAGACCACAAGGGAATAACTTTAATAATAGCTTTCAGTTCTTCTACTTGATCAACTGTGCATAGACTCCATGGATTTGAGGCTGACCCATCAGAGGCTATATCTTTTTCTGGGTCTTTAATGAAGCAAGCTTTATTCAAGAACCTAGAAAAAACCAAAGCATCACAAGGAGTTCGGTATTATTTCATGCAGTTAACAAGCAAAAGATTATAGCAATGGTAATGTGAATACATGATTCAACCTTAGTTTATCACTAGGAACAAGACGATTAGAGTCCTTGTTATGATGATACATTCCAGCTGAGTTCTTATGCGGTAATTGAAGTTTCCTGTTCTTATAGGCTACAACAATCACTCGTGCAAAGCCAGTGAGCAAGCTGCTGTTTGTTTTATTCTTTACATAAAGCGGAGAAGCAAGAAAGAAGAACAAAGTGGACAAGAACATAAGTGCTGCTGGAACTCCAAAACCCAGTTTCCATCCAAGATGATCTTGGATATATACTATTCCCGTGAAGGCAATTATGACGGAAATCGCTGCTGAAGCATAGTACCAGCTGAAGAATGTTTCCAAAGCCCTCTGATTATCAGGGCTATCTTTGCTATTCACCTGATCTGCACCAAAAGCCAGGGAGCATGAAAGGCCTCCATTTCCAACAGCCATGAGAGCAAGGGAAGTTATTAACATTGCCATTTGCCCAGTTGTAGCTGATTTACATCTTTCAGTTGCAGAATTGCAAGGAGGAGGCCGTGCTTCCGGGATCATCGCTGTTAGCCACAAGAGTGCCATTCCCTGTTACCAATAGGGGAAAATTTTGACTTTTTTTAAATACAGAACTCAGTTGAGAACACGAACATCAAACCAACTAATTTTTCCTTGATAAATTTCAGTGTATAGAAATCCAATTTACTAACTGATTTCTTTATCCCAGAAAATGAAAGTAGTTTAATGTTGAGAATCTGAATTAGTATCTATTATTAGTGTTTATTACAGTTCATTAGAATTCCTACTGTTACGAGTTTTGATTATAGGAATTATTGGTGTTCATGGGCTATTACACATTTATGAATAGTTTTATTTGTGATTTATGTTCAGATTAATGGGTAGAATCTGAATCAATTTTCAGCTATGACTTTCTTATATTTAAAGGTTGTTAGTATGAATGAAAATGTGAGTTTCAGCATTCAAATTCTATAGCTTCCTAAATTTCTCTAAGTTACAACAATTAAAAATGTTAATATTATGATTATTTATAAGCTAGGGTATTCTATCTTCACACAATTCACTTCAATTTTGAAAATCAAATGAATACCTAGTACCTACCAGGAAAGTGAGGAGGGAACCCAAACCAACAGCAAGGAAGCGACCCAGATAAGAATCAGCAATGAAAGCACCAGGGAGAGGCATTAAATTGGTGGTTGCAACAGATAAGAGTAGAATCTGGGTAGCTGGTGCTAAATGAATATTATAGCTTCCCATCAAATACAGTATCATATTGGGCATAAGGCCAAATGTTGCAACCTTTGCAAGTGCTTCATTTGCTGTCATTCATTTCATTCATTCAAATCAAAATCCAAAACCCAAATACATAAAATAAAAGAGGAAATTTTATCCTTAAAAACAGCGTCCGAGGTTGAGGTAACCAAAACCATTACCTATGATGAAAGGCATGGTAACGATGCCGCCCTTACACCTCTGGGGTTGAGAAATGCGGTGGGAAGCCATTCTAGCTTCAGCTGAAGAAAGCTCTACTTCCTTCTCCATTGAACAGTTACTGTTTCCTAGTGCAACAACACAGCTATGGTACAATTATACATCTTCATCTACACGTGGATGAAACCAGAACTTCAGACTTGGGTTTCCGGGATTTTCAATAGTCAACAACCCATCTCTGCTCAACCATTATTAAATTTACAAAATATACAAATATCAGGGTTTTTTTTATATGGAAAAAAAAATACAAAATTACCGAATGTTTTCAAAAAATGACAAAAATACGAAAATAATGACTATTATAATGGAATTTTTTGAGCACCTTAAAAATTTTTATAATTTTTTTAATACTTTTTTTAAAATTAGTATCGTCAGTAATAATTTTATAAACTTCATATTTTTATAATTTAAAAAAAATATCGTATTTTGGTATATATATATATATATATATATATATATATATATTTCAAATTCTATATATAAAAAATTAAACCCGTATTTGTTATTTACATTTTACACTATTTTTCTCTTTCCATTTTTAAGACTTAGCTTAAGTATATAATAAAATAATTTTATTATACTTAAATTTAACTTTAAGAAATTATTTTAACAAAATTTTGTTTGAAATACTACACACTTGTATGCTATAAATTAACAAGAAACATGTTTTTCATATGTACTTGTAAATTAGAATTTTAAAAAAATATAAAATATAAATTTTTTTATTATGCTTTAATTAATTAATTTTTGTTTTATTTTCCTATCTAATCATAATTAATTATTAAATATTTAATCGCATATCGAACAATTTTTTTTATTCACACCAAGTAACATTTTCCTAAGGAGAGTTTTGTGATCTAGTGCCTTAATTTCACATGTTAGCCACAAATATAAGCTCAACTTTTAAAGGAGATGAGTTCTAGAAAAGACTAATTTGGCTCATCTCGAGTTAGAAATGATTATTCCATTAGAACTTATTCTTCTTGATGTAACTAAAAAATTGTATAATTTTTTTAAAAAAAATCAATTTTTTATTGGCAACATTTGAAAATCTTGGATGAAAACTCAATGCCCAAATTAAAATTCACATAACTGAATATATTAGTCTATTTATAGAGTCCCTTCTTCGATTGTCCATTGACGTACTCACTCTTCACTATAATGATTAACACAAAATTTAAGGCTAACTAAGGAAAAGGATCTAACAAATGCTGACTCTTTGGGTTAACAAACAAATCAAAATTTAGGTTTGATCGACCATTGGTTTTTTGTTTGTCTGTTGTAGTTGGTGAGATTACAAGTTTACACATGATTGATGAATGATGAGGAAGGGTCATCATATCAATTCATGAGTGCTAAATTTGTCACTGGATTTGAGGCCAAGTATGTAACGGTTTTTCTTTAGACTAGTTGGAAAATTCATCTTTCAATGTGTCTCTAAATTCTTATCTTTTATTATGTTTAGAATGAAGGCAAGAAGTTTTGGCGGGTAATATGGTATACACAACACACTGCATAGTAATTTTTTTCACCATGTTTTGTTTGTGATCTTTCTACTTAAAAGCTTATTCTTTTTCCAATTTAATGGCAATTAATAAAAAAGATTGACATCTTTTTTCAGACGAACTATTTTTTAGAAAAAACATTCCACTGTCCAAAAGTTGGTTTACCCTTCCATTAGGGAAATTGTAGAACTAAAATCATCAAGACCCTAGCACTACTCGTATTAAAAAATATCTTCACACTTTGGATTTGTTGCTTTTCTACTTATATATCTTTTTATTTATTTATATCCCCTTGGTGAGACTTTGTTCTTTAGCAACTTCGAATTTTTCAAGTTGGAGTGCATTGGACAAGAAAATAAAGGTTAATACTGTACCCAAATAAAGTGCTGTTGTTGCTAAATTGAAACTAGTTTTAATCATATTAAAATATGTAAATCATTTTATGGAGTAGCAAAAAGTAATGCTGTATTACATAGGTTCACTTCACGTTACAATTTAACATGCCAAATAGATCAACACCCTTGAGTTAACACCTCCATGTGGGCAAGGTTCCATGATAGATTAAGCCTTGGATTCGCTCCATTCTTGTAATGTAAGGGTTGCAACTCCAACATTTTTCATGTCAAGCACATTGGCTGAAATGTGGGTCATCATTACTATGTCATGAACTTTGATAATAAAATTATTTTGAAAAGTAAACTAAGTTAATCATCTTTGAGGGCATCGAGAATATCAGAATGTAGCCACAAAAGAAATGATTTTAAAAAAGGAAAAAATTTATCTGTTGTTTCACAGGTGTTGTTAACCAATTAAATTAAAGTTTCATTGAATATCAAAATTTATTATCAGATATTATTAATATAAAACTCTAATTTTAATTACGATACTCTACCTAAACTTTTTCTTTCAAAGAAATGCAGTGTATGACACCATGCCACCAGCACAACAATATTATGCCTCTTCGTGGCTGTATAGTATTTTATGACAACAATTCAAAAATTCTATGCAAACAAGGTATTTTCTTAGATGGGTATTCAAATAAAGTTCCTACTAATTGCAAGGCTTTCAAGAAGTGAAAAAATACATACCAAGATGAATATCAGGTGTGGCTGCCGCTGTAGCATCAACAATAACAGTTACGTGTTGGTAGTCCAATGCTACAGCATCAAAGACACTTTGCCTGATACAGTTTGGAGTTTGAACACCTACAAATAAAGCGACATGAAATCATTACATATACAAAACTTTAAGTAAGTTCACATTGTGCCTTAAACTACTACTCACCAGTGACCACAAGACTATTAATTCCTTCTCCTTGAAGAACTGAATGAAGGTGTGTAGCAAAGAATGCACTAAACCTTGTCTTCACAAGTTTATAATCTCTTTCTTTAATTACCAGCCCATTAACTAATTCTGCACCTTTACTTCCTTTAGAGACTGGACCAACTTTACCTGCTTCATATTGATGCCTACGAAAAAGTTCTACATCTCTTCCTAAAGGATCGTGTTCCCGTACTACCTGCAAACATTTTGAGAGACATTATTCAAGTACGAAACTATTTTCTTGAATGTCAATAGCCAAGATGTCTGATTAGTTAGTAAAGATTCTTTTTCACTTCTTCTTGTTGGTGGCTAAAAATATATAGATTATAAGTATTACCTAGGGAAAACACCTTTGTGAAGAAGCCATGGGTTTATAGTAAGACATAGGCAAATAGAGCACATATATCAAGGTATGTAAGAAAAGATACCTAGGGAATTATGAAAACTAAAATAAATTTAATTAAATGTATCATTTTTCATATTCTTTCCCTAGTACCCAACAATACATAACATCGCCCGGTATGAAAGTTCCTCACCATGCAAACAAGTAACTCATATCAAAACTTGTTTCGGGAAAAAAAATCAAAATTAAATTGTTGATATCTTGTATTGACTACAGATATAATCAAAGTAAAACCTATAAACACTAAAGTAATTCTCACATTAAAAAAAATTACATTTGAGTTAGATTTAAGTTCAAATTTAAATTAGCGTGGAAGCCCATCATAAATTCAATTTTAAATTATTCTTATTGTAAAAAAACAAAAAATTCATCCTACAACAAGCAATTAAAAAAAATGTCTTACAATTTTCACATTCTAAATATCTAATTTTGAGCATGGGTTAAGATTCCATATGGATTACAAATACATGTAAAGTGTAGAACTTATTAAAACTAAAACAATTACTATCGTATAAGCTAACTTTTTTCTATTTAGTTTAAGTTAAAATTCAAAACAAATCAGTATTCCCGTCTTCCCCAACAAAATATTACTGGAAATATAAAGGTTTCTCCCTTTGTTTCCAGAAATTTGTATCTTAAAGATCATTACCCATAAAGTAACAGAAAAAGTCCATAGACAAACCATAACAGAGAGTGTTTTTACCCAAACTATGAGGATCCCACGCTGCCTTGCAGCCTCCACAGCTTTGATCACATTTGGGACAATATCTTTCCCTCCTTTTAGAGGCACAGAACCCCAATCTTCTATAAAATCTTTCTGCAATCTCAGACATAGAATCCTTAGTTTCTCCAAGAAAATGCTGAGAATAAGTAGGAACAACATTGAAAAGTAACTACCTGCATGTCAATGACAAGAAGGGCTGTGCGGTTCCAATCCTCTGTCATTTCCAAAGGGTCAACTCCGCCGATTGCAAAGTTTGAGCTCAGTGACAAAGGCTTTGATTCATGATCTTGAAAGTGCAGGTGTATATATAATCAGTGAATTGGATCACCACGAATCACATGTGTTACATGCTTCAGGAGCAAACACTGTAGTTTTGTCCATTCCTTCTATATTCAATGAATGGGATCACAACCAACAAAAAGTTTGGTACTGCAAGATCATTGGTTCCTCAAACATGTTTTCAACAGGAAAATGTTTTATTACGAGACACTGTCGGTGTAGTTCATATTAATATCCCATCATCGATTAAAGATATTCTAGCCTAGTACAAAAGAAAAAATGAGAATTGGATTATCTAGAGTTATTAAAAAAAGTTCATGTGGTGTAATTCATAATCCAAGAGCTAATAACTTGTGTATGACATATTAGTATTTCATACTACAAATATAATTTCATGAGCTGGATCTCCTAATGAACGTGACCTGCAAAGGATCCTAATTCAGCTCATGTGATGTTTCTGTTTCTGTCTCTTTTCAAGCACTTCAATTTGGTTTTCACCATGTAGGTCTTTTTTTTCTCCTCAGCATATATATTGTTTAATCTTAAGTTACTACATGTTAATTATTATTTTTTAATAAATATTTACTTTAAACAATTTATTAAAAGCACGTTTAAGCTATTTTAAAATGTTTTTAGATATATGTATTAATCTAAACACACTTGGACATGTAATTATATTTATGAAAATCATGTTGATGTGAACATAAAAGAGGATAATACATCTTTTCGAATGCTAATATCAATAAATAATAACTTCATAATTTGTTGCTAACACACGTGAATCACAGCCCAACTCGTGAAATCCAAGTTTTTATAACTGCACGTGGGATATTGTTTGCCATGGATTTAGATATTATGAAAACGATGTATTTATTATTGATTTAAATTAAAGTATATAAATTAATTCATTATATATATATATATATATATATATATATATATTAAATTTACACATACTTTTTCATTTTAAAAAAAGTTAAATTTGATTTTATTAACAGAGGATATAACATAAGAATCAAACGTGTACATGTCTTATGTGGCGAACTGAACAAATTGCAATTGGATTTCTGTTAAAGAGGTTAAGGTATAATTTAAAAGAAAAGTGTTAAGTAAGAACTATAATGTTACCTTATAAATTTTTAAAAAGTTTAACATTTTTAAAAGTACTTAAAATGAAAAATAAATACTAATTTTATTCTTTGAAGTAAGTTATATGTCAAAAGAATTCATTTCAATTCACTGTACCATGACTTAGAACTTGCAATTGTGAAAATAATGAGATAAGTAATGTGTATAAATACTATTAATATAGGGTAATATTGTTTGTACGTAAAAATGGCCATACGTATTTTATATATAACTATGTACGATCAAACTTTTTTTTTTTAATTTGAAAAATTAGACGGAAAGGGATGGCCCTCTTATTCAAATGTGTGATCACATTTAGAAAATCATAAAACACAAATCATCTAAATTTTTCCAATTTTCCAAATTTTGACTAGTTTTCGTGAAATTCTAGTGTTCTAATTTTTCTGAATCAATCACGTGAATAATTCCCACCAGTAAGCCAGTTCAAGTCTGATTTTATAATCTATCATTGATTCATTTATAGTAGTTAACTTTAAAATAATCAATTGTTGAAAATAAAACAAAAATTAAATAGAAAATAATACAATATTTCTGCATAAGCAATCTCACTCCCGAACAATCCAGTGATGGCATCCTTCAAATTCCCAAGCTATTTCTTAATTTTATAATAAAAAGCTTACCAGATATTAACTTTGAATTTATCCAAGATTTTTTTATTAGAGACATTTGGGATCGTATTCGAACAATGAAAATGCAATTGGGTCCCAAGGATGATCAGAATTTGAAGAATATATTTGAATTGAGTTTAAGTAACTTGGAATTCTCTAAATTGGAGTGCATTGAACAAGAAAATATCAGTGAACACTGGACCCAACAAAAGTGGTGTTCATACACTAAAAAAAAGCCATGTAAATCATTTTATGATGCAGCAACCAAGTACTGCACTATAGATAGGTTCGTTTCACTTTACAGTTTAACCCGCCAAAGACTTTTGATCCCTTTAAGTCTTGGAGTTGATTCATGCAGATAAAGCTTTGGGTTCGCTCCATTCTTGTAATGTTGGGGTTGCAACTCCAATATTTTTCATGTCAAACACATTGGCTGAAACCACCAAAATGCTTATCACATTACCATCTACTCAACTTTGATAAAAAAAAAACGATTTTGTAAGGTAAGGAAAAAACTTAGCAAAAAATTTTGCTTTTAGAATTAATCATGTCACCAGTTGTGTTACGCTACATCTATATTCCTTTCATAGAAAATAATGAACTGACATTTAACAAAAACACTTTCATGAAAAATTTGATGTAATTATTCATAATCAATAGATTTGATATTTATAATTATGAACTCTTACAAAGGTGTTGTTTAACAAGTTAGGCATCAGCAGAGATAACATTTTAATCTCTAATACTTGTACAACCTGTAAAGTGGCCAACCTCTAGGAATAATAAACCAAACCAACTAATTGCAACACAACTTTACATAGATCATCAGAGTTCAATATTATCTTTTTACTCGGGAGTTCATGGACATGAATGAATAATATATGTGCAAGTATGCAACTAAATTTTAAAATGTAAATCATAAAGCTGAAGATCATTATTTACTTAAATATCTATTGCAGAGAAGGTCTTCTCTAAGACGGCTATCCAAATACAGTTCCACCCAATTGCAAGGTTTTTAAGAAATTGAAAAATACATACCTAGATGAATTTCAGGTGTGGCTGCAGCTGTGGCATCAACAATAACAGTAACAGGTTGATAGTCCAATGCCACAGCATCATAGATAGTTTGCCTGATACAGTTTGGAGTTTGCACACCTGCATATAAAGCTATATAAAGTCAATACATAAATATAAAACCATAAGTTTGCATTGAGCATTAGAACTATTTTACACACCAGTAACCACTAAACTATTAATTCCTGCTCCTTGAAGGACTGAATGAAGGTGTGTAGCAAAGAATGCACTAAATCTGGTCTTCACAAGTGTATAATCCCCTTCTTCGATTACCAGCCCATCAACTAATTCTGCACCTTCACTTCCTTTAGAGGTTGGACCAACTTTCCCCGCATTGTATAGATGTCGACGAAAGAGTTCAACGTCTCTTCCTAAGGGATCATGCTCCCGAACTACCTGGATACATTTTAAGAGGTACAAGACTTTCATTCTTTGTATTGGTGACAAAAAAATGTATGGAGCATTACCCGGGGAAAACACCTTTGTTATGAGTAAATGAAATACAAAATGCCCATATATGGGTATAAGTAAATAAAATCTAAAAATCTAGGGAATTATATAACAGTCTCGTTATATGAATTACTAAAAATTGATACCATATACCATGATTTTTATCTATCACTTGCATCTTTTATTTATACAAATTCTCAAAATACACTCCAAATACAATCTACAAGTGTCCCATTTTGTGGTACAGCAAACATTTTCCCCAACAAAAACTAAAATAAACTGAATTATACACAAATTTATATTCTTTCCATAATGCCCAGCAATACTTTTCCGAGCAACTTCATGAAACAAGCTAGTCATATTAAAACTTGTTTCGTTTCACAAGCCATAACAGAGAAAGAGTGTCATTACCCAAACGATGAGAATTCCACGCTTCCTGGCAACTTGGACAGCCTTGATCACATTAGGGACAATGTGTTTCCCTCCTTTAACAAGCATAGGACCCCCATCTTCTATAAAATCCCTCTGCAAGCTCACAAACCCAAAGAGAATCCTTAATTTCTCCGAGATGATGGTGAGAAGCAGGAGAAACAACATACCTGCATGTCGATGACAAGAAGAGCAGTGCGGTTCCAATCCTCGGCCATTTCCAAAGGGTAAACTCCACCAAGCTCAGATTTTGAGCGCAGTAACAAAGGCTTTGGCCAATTGGGTCGCTTATTATGTATGATTTTGGTCCCACTGCACACAGACACACGAGCTTGAAAGTTGAAACATGAACCCCACAAAAGTGAGAAGGAAAAAACCTGGAGGAACGAAATAGGAATTACCGAAAGCTTAACTTCAAATCGGGCTTGTTCAGCTTCGGAAATGAGGGGGTTGGAAGAATTAAATTCGCAGGTTCATATGAAGACCTCGCAAAAGTGGATAAAGTTTTGTTCATCTTCATAAATGTTGCAATCATGCTTGAATTTTATCATTTATAATTATTATATTTTTATCTAAATTATATATATTTTTATAAGAAACATTCCTAGACAAGCTAAAAATATCTGCATAGTAGTGAAATTAACTCTCTTGAGCATAATTTTTTTCTATACTCAAAATTCAAACTCTTGAATCAATCTTTATTATTCATAATAATCATTTTTAATTTGATTCAAATTAATCGAATGTTAGCAAAAACTTACTTATATATTCTTTAATTTTAACATCATTACCTAAGAAAATACTTTTCCCTTAATTAAGTCAGTCTACTTTTATAAAAATTTTATATATTTTAAATCTATATTTTTTATCTGTTTTTCTTTCCTTCCTTTTTTTTGTCAACTTCTTCTCCCGTGAGCATATTAAGGGCCTTACTGATTTATCGTTTGAACTCATTGGAACGGAGTTTGGACTGAAGTAAATAAACTTCTAAAATAAAAATAATAAAAATTCTCTCATAAATTATATAACTTATTTTTTTTATTTTTTAAGAAACTGTCTCATTTAAATAGAATTTATAAAAAAATTATTTATTATTTATATTCTTTTTTGTATTCTTTTTTTTAATAGTTATTCAAATTACGCTTAATATAAACCTCAAGTGACACTGAAGATGTTTTGAGATTTAAATATTCTAAAAAAAAATTGAAAAGAAAACACTTACATTCATTTAATTACTTTTGGACTGTAAAAAAAAAAAGAACACTGCTCATAGATTTCAACTTCATAAACAAAATACAATTATTAAATAAAGTATTAGTGTATTAACTCTCTCTTTTTTTCATTTAAAAAAGATCACTCAAGAGGACAATATAAATTAAGAAATTAATATACCTAATTATACTAAAATTATTTTTAACTTTCTCATATAACTTAATTATTATTGCTCTCTCGTTATAGTAATGCATATATAAAATTTAAAAAAAAATCAAGAAAAATAAATGAAAAAAGGGAATATAATATTCAAATATACTAGTCTCTCTTATCGGTTGACTCTTTTGTATATAAAACAACGAGGACATTTAAATCAGTCAATTATTGTAGAAAGAATGCTCTTATTATTATTAAATAAAAAGTAATAAAGCATATTTAAAATTATAATTTAATACATTAAATATATTAAATATTATATTTTTATCATCAATTTCTCATGGTTGGGCGCTTTTCCTTTTCCGATATGCGTAGGGTTGGCAGCATGAAAACTAGAGATGAAGACAAAGAGAAAGGAACAGAGGCCAAGCACTACTTAGTTATTTTTAAATATGACTATGGAGACTCAACCATAACCCTTTTCCATTGTATTTTATTTTATTCTTTATAATTTAACCCATATCATTCTTCGTTCTGTCCTCTTATTTTACTATATATTGTTTAGTGTATCAATTGACGTGTAACATTCTTTTGTTTTTGTTCAAGAGCTCGATGCGTTTTAATTAGAGAATAATGAATATAAAATAAGCACTGTTCAGACTTTATATATACATTTTATCATATTAATTATCACCAATCACTTTGCATATACGTTATAATTACTTAGAAAACGGTGCTGTTCTAATTAACCCAAGTTTTATTTTCCATTTTACATCAATTTTATTGTAAAAGTTTACGTCCAGATAAGTTTGAACTTAACGTTTCTACTTTAATGTATAGACTTTTCGTTTTTTCGTGTTTGGTACATATTCATTTGTTCAATTACTTTACTCCCCCTTTTGTTTTTAACAACGAAAAGCATTAAGAGGGACATGCTAGAAAACAAATGATACAATCACATTCAAACTTTTAACTTTTGCTTTTTCTCTTATAATTTATTTTTATGTAAAACAATTCTAAATTACAACTTTCCATCGGAGTACGTCACCATCAAAAACATAACATGAATGTATAGTCCAATAATGAAAATTCCGTAATGGACTAATCATTTAACTAATTCATTTTTTATTCTTAGTTAACATGATCATTCTATATATAAATTACTCGTTAGTGGATAAAAGATAATCACCAGTCATTACCCCATTGGCTTAGCATTTGAAAGTGGAAATTAACTAAGGCAGCATGAAAACGCAAAATCCTAACTTCACATTTGCGAAGACAAATTGATTAAGATGTCTGTTTAGGTTAACATCTGTAAATTTTTTAAATTTGAATAAATTTAAAATAATACAATTTCTGTTTACTTTTAAAAAAATTCAATTTGAATAAAACTTCTAATTTATTACATTAATTCAAATGAAAGTTTAAAAATAAAACTAATTATATTATAAAACTATCAAACATTAATGTAAATTTTCAATCACCTTTATTCTTTAAAATTAAATTTAAGAGCATATAATTCAATCCAAACATTCACTAAAGCACTAGGTAGTATTACATAGTCCAATAACCATCAAACATGATTTCATTAGATAAAATTAACTACATAAATCATACAACGTTATTAAACTCAGGTAAAAACTAAATTTTAAGAATGTGATTACTTTATTATGAAAGAATTTAATATGAAATTGTTAATAGATAATTTTTTTATGATATATAAAATAGTTGTATTGTCTGATATGATGCAATATGTAACGTAAGTATGATGAAAGTGGCACTTGGGGTTGGAGGGAGCGTGGGGGAAATGGGGCATGGGGCACTTGAGTAGTTTAACTAAAAGGTGGTCCAAATATGACCCGAGAGATGAGATGGGCCCCATTTCTATAGCCATATTCGGGTCAGCCAACTATATATCCATTCACATGAATGTCTGCCATCAACTGTTGACAACCAGTTCTTTATATAAATTTTATCTAATTTCCATTTAGAGATGGTTAATAAACAAATGTGCGTTGCTATGATGAGTACTCCTACAATGGCAAACTTTCTGTATGTAAACAACATGTATGCATGATATATAATTTGAAATCAGAGAGACCTTCAACAACAAGGAAAATAATATGATTAACGTGACTAATTTTAAAATAGTACTTATGATCATCATATATAATGCATGGGCCACTTATCTATATGCGTGCAAATTAATTTTCGTTGGTTCGAAGCTTGACAGTTGACATTGCAGATTCCTCTCTTTAATGCATGCATGCGATTCATGTCCTAATTTATGATTCGTCTGAAGAATACCATATAGCTTGTAGCATTTCAAAATTGGATTCTTGTTTAAATCTCTAGGCCATGCAAAATAATATGATCACTGAACACTTTATTATTATTTTCACCAGGATCATTAATTAGTTCTAATAAACTCTCATGATCTCCTAGACCAAATTCGATTCAATAGTGGTAGGTGATTAAAATCACAGACATTCTCATTTTTTTTTTCATATAATACATATTTGATTCACAATCAGCATAAGATATCCGTACTCATTATTCACTTTCTCCTTTCCAACCTCTTCGGGGTATCTTCTGTTCATGAATTGTATTATCCGTACGGGTTAGTATGCGTCCATATATCTCGATCGGATCATGAACTCGATCAAAATCGTCATAAGTTCATGTACTCTTTCAAGTGTTAGAATGGAACTAAAATATTAAAAAAAAATCTTTATCAACAATCCGTAAAAAGGTTATATAAATAAATTAAATATCACGTTGGACTTAAAATCCTATTAAGATATCAAATTCTTTTATCTCACTTAGATATTTTCATCTATCGTGTGATTTCTTAATTATATTTTCTGCTTTAATGAAAATGAACATGGAGAAGGAGAGGGGGATGTGAGGGAAGAGATCGTTGATATTGTAATCTTAAACAAGCATAGCTAGAGAAAATGATAATTATCAATAATCATATATCCTTCATGACAAAAGAAGGAATAATTGCTAAATGCATGTTTAGAAAAACTAAAATTACAGATTAAATAATGTTTTGACAACTTATTAATAACTTATTGAGTTAACCAAATTAGATTAGAGACAATACATAATGGATAATATATTTTTTCCATTGACTAAATCATGAATGCTATATAGCATCGTGAGCAATCAACCTTTTCAATATTACTGCAGATTGACTGCTCGCGATGTTATACCATCCATTTTGCCAAAAACGATTGCTGCATATTTGTTAAAATCCACTGCCATAAGCAGGTGCCCAATAATCAGCTCCATTTTCACTTCCCACATGTTGGGTACAAGACACAGGAACTAAGCACAACCCTCTACTCCTCAAGTCCTTTGGCTTATCTACTGCATCCTGATTATTATTTTGATAAATAAGTAAATGATTAGATGTATGGTAATCCTATTGTATTATCAATGAAAAATAATGGCATCAATATATTATCTTCGCCATTAATTAATGCAAAGCCTGAAAGGTTCTGCTAGGCCATGCATGTTCTGCACAATAATGCAACTTATGGTGATAATGATAATAATGATTAGGATGACTCTTAAAGAATATCCAAGATAATAACGAATACATATAAGATATAATGAATACTAAACTCAGCATGGTACACCTTTGCATAAAAAGGAAGAATACCTGGCTTGGAGCTCCCTTTCTTTTCAGGCCAGTGTCATTCAACAGCTAGATGGAAATAAAAAGAAAAACAAAAGTATTAGAAATTTCACTTCTCTCTCCACGCTTTTTGACTTGAAATCAGAAATGAAACCTCGCATTATCCTTTTCACTAGCTTTAAACGATGTTATAAAAAGCTGAGAAGCCTTGTTATTATTTTTTATAGCTTTTTCCCTTAATTAAATATTAAGTAATAATTACAAAGAGTCTCCTAATTTGATTGTAATGAATTGATGGATCCAATAAAGCATACCTGACCGGGGTCCTCAGGAAATACAGAATTTCTTTCTCCGTGTACCTGTTGCTTGAAAAGAAAAGAAAGAAAAAGGAGGAAACTTTCCCCTCAATTATATGTTTTAGTACATACAATATAGGTATTTTTGTCCTACTCAAATGTGTGTGTGAGCTTGTTTGTGAGAGATGACCAGAAAGAGAGAGACTTTGGGAAATGGGTACTTACAGATTGTTGATTCCTAATGTTTTTTGATCCATTGCCCAAGTAAGGAGAACTGAGTGCCTGTACCCAAGGAGAATGAAAAAAGAAGGAAAAAATGAAAAAGAATAAAACTAAAGAATGTTAGAGAGAAACATCATTAATATCCGTGAAACTTTAACTGCATGCTCCATCACTAACTCTCAATAGCCTGCAGAGTATAAAATATGAGGAAGAAACATCACCTCAATTTGACCCTGAAGGAATCTTATGTATCCGATGGCTTCTAACAAGACAGAAGCTGTGTCAGTCTGCAAAAGTGAAACACACACACACCACACCACAACCATAACACTGGTCATATATCCGTCTCTTTTAAGGTTAAAAATGAAACTAATTACAATAAATGAGAATAAATAAATAAATATAGCGGTAAACAATAGTTGAAGTTGGATATCATAGAAGAACGGAAAAGAACTGTTCATAGGACCTCCTTAAATACTAATTCCAAACATACAAATTAAGGCGCTTGTGATGAAGGTTTATAGTTTTATATTTTGTGTGTTCATTGTGTTTGTAGTAGTTGGAGTGGTTTGTTTATTTACCTTTCCGAATGGGGAAACCAGCTGGTGAAGGGCTGTTATTCTATCACCTAGCTTCTCCTTTCTCACCTGATTAAGAGATTTCAAATAAGTATGGAAGTTAGTACATAAATTCATGTTTTTCTCTCTTTCAACTATATATCATGCAAATTTACCAGCAGAAAGAATATTACAGTCTTGGAGAGAGAGACAATCAAGAAAGACAACACACAACAAAACACTTGGTATATAACTGTATCTCGTGGTAGAGAGAGAGAGAGGTCACCTTGAGAGGGGGTTGGCTTGAAGATGGTTGACTCTTAGTCCTCTTACAAACTCCAGCAGTGGCTTGGCTATTACACTTGAGGAGCAGAAGAGACAGATCATGAAAAAATAATGAATATTATTTGAAGAGATAATAATTTATGCATTTTTTAATAAGTATCATGGAAGTGAAAGTTTAGATGAGAGAAGAAAAAAGGAATAACAAGAAGCCATGGAGACTTACATCGGATGTGTGATCTAGAAATTGGTTCTTCCTATGACCTGTCTTGTTATAAGTGAAATCCAATAAATTATTATTATTACTACTCAAGCTAGTGACACTTGACCTAGGAGAAGAAGAAACTGCCACCATATGTGACCAAGGTGCTCCTGAAACCTGAAATTCCTGATCATGCCCGTGGTGATATAAGCTGCCACTTTGAGAAACCTCTTGCTTTATTACATCAGCCATATGCACTATGGGGGATGGATTAAGAATATGTTCATCCCAGTTATCCAACTTTTTTGATTGAAAATGACTGAATGCAACTCTCTCTTCTTCGCCTGGTAACCCAGTGCTGCAAAACCAAAAAGAACCGAGAAACTTTCACATACCAACAATTAATAATGATGATAATAATAATAATAATAAAAACTTGAACCAAGGTAAAAGAACGTATAAATAACTTAAGCTGGTGCAGACCATGGATAGTTTTTCAATTCACCTCAGTAAATTAAACCAATCTATCAAATAGTTTTTCAATAACTAAAAAAGACAAAGTTGATAAAATGGAATATATGTATTAATTGATCAACAAGCCACACACTGCAGGCACAAAGAAGAGAAAGATAAGGTGCTTACAAAAGAAGTTGGCTCAATGACTGAGGGTGTTCTGGGTTTTCTGTAGAAGAATTAAAGGGAATTGAAGAAGATCCAAGCACATACTGAGGAGGGATCAAAGATGGTGGATGCATACTCCACCAGTTAGGGTTCCCAGCCATCATTTGCTGAACTAAAGAAAAATATCTTCTGAAGAATTAATACTCAATTCTTGCCTTCAAATGAACATATAGGAAATGAAATATTTACTCTCCTTTTCCCTTATACTTTTCCTCTTTCACCTTTGGTGATATTTCCTTGTATGTGCACCCAAACAAGCCTTTGGCTAAAGCTTGGAGTGTTGTGTTTTGCTTTCTTACTAGCTGTTGAAGAAACTTAAAGTTATGGGGTCTCAGTATTTTATAGAGTTGGAGTTGAGAAACTTTGCATATGTTACTTTTTCTTTCCTTTCTTTCATTTATTCAGTATTCCTTTTTATTATAAAGTGGAATGCAAAAGCTGGTGGCCAGTGTTTTGAGGCTTTAAATTAATGGTTGCTCAGACTTATTTCCTTAATTTGGGGTTGCACCTTGGGATTGTTTTGGGGCTAGCTAGGGTTGAGATAGAGGTAGGGCATAATAGTAGTGAGATCAATGTCAGATGCTTTATTTATTCTCTAGAGCAATAATTCACTTTAACAAACAAAACTACAGAATCTAAGTGCCTCATTAAAATAAGGAGACCAAAGCAAAAAAATTGGTAGAACTCCATGAAACCATGCTCTCACTTCTAACTACAATATACAAACTCCAATTCCATTAGGATAAACTTTTGTGCAAAAGCTGTGAGGAATATATGTTTCATAATTAATTACAATTAAATTTAATTAAATCTTAAAATAAATAATAAAATGCAATAAATTATTTATTTTTCTTCATCCCAAGTAAAGTCATGAAAAAAATACGCATATATATATATATATATATATATATATATATTTGTATATATATTAGCATTTTTTTCTCAAACCTAAATCATCTTCCAATCAGTGATATGGAGCGTGTCAATTACGAAAATAATTAGTGAGAATCGAAATATTTTATTCATTTTTCAAATTTAGAATTTGATGCATGCCGTGATTGAATCAGATTCCACCCTCATAAATGGCTTGATCGGGTTATAATTAACGAGGATCCAGAATTTATATAATAAAAATGAAATTAGTAAAGTATTCCTGCATTATATATATTTTTTAAGCTTAAAAAATTTCAGAACTAAATCTTAATAAATATAGTTGTGTTAAATATTTAAAAGAAGAACTTTAATATTTATAATAATCTTACTCGAAATAATTTTACTCACTTCAAAGAAGATGATCTCTGATAACATATACGTAATCTACACTAAAAAACATGATAAAAAAATATGTTTTAAAAAAATATAATAGAATTTTAGGAAAATATTAACCAGTGTTCTAAATATATCGGTTAAAAATTAAAAATAAAAATTTTATAAAAAAATATAATTTATTAACTTTATCTACCATGACTTATTTTTAGATCTTAAAAGTAAGAAATTTTTATTAAAAAGTCATTTGTTATATTTTTATATTCCTAATGTAATGAACATTTTCTTTTTCTATATAAAATTTTTAATTTTAGTTACTTAAAATGAACCCTTAATTTTGTAAAAAATATTATCAATATGCACATTATCATAATAATTTTTAATAAAATATTATATTTATCCATTTCTTGATCACTATAAATATTAAAATTATAATTTAAAATTAATGTAAATAATATTATTTAAAAAATAAAAAATATATAAAAATAAATATTAATTAATATAACAAAAATTCAAATAATTTATTAAAAAATTAAATCTTAAAAAGTTGTTCATTCAAGAATAAATATTTAGATTTATAATATAAGACAAGATTATTTAAATACGGAAACATCATGTTATATCCAATATGCATAGCCGAATATGAGGCAATTGCAAGAACAGTGTTTAAACATGCTTTTCTAATAAATTTTTATTGACTAACACCATAAAATACAATAAAAATTAATTTAAATTATAAATAAAAAGAATAAACTTCACAATTTTTAATAAATTCTAATTAATCACAAATATATATATATATATATATATATATATATATTTCTAACATTTCTTTTATATGCTATTGGATCCTTACGGTGTAAGATAGGGAGGATTTTGTGAAAATGGTTAGACATGCTGCCTCATAGATAAGAGAGTGGCTTCAGGTTTTGATTGCTAAATAATAATAAGAGAAAATAAAAACAAATTTGTGATTGATGTATGTTTGGTACCCAAGTAGTGCTATCTGTACGGATGATTTATGTTTGTGTCTTTGTTCTTTATGAGAAAATGTGTGGTGGGTGTCTTACACTCGAAAAAGGGATAAAAATAGAAAAGAGAGAAGGAACACATATAATAATGTAGTGTAACAAAAAGAGAAAGATCATAGAAAAAAAGTAAAACATGTTAAATGGATGTTACTAATGTTTAATCGTATATATAAAAACCATATTGTGATATCATCAAATTACTAGTTTGTATCGTTATTTAATCATAAATTATTATACTGAGTAGATTTTATTTATTTTCATAAAATTATATTTCTTAGACATGTCACCTTAATAAGTTTTATCATTAAACAACCTTTTCCATGTGATGATATTGGTATGATTTGAGACAAACACCACTCACCGAATACCGACCAAAAAATCAGGGACTCTCTGCACTATGATCCAAAAATTGAAAAAGAATGGAAGAGATGCATCATAAAGAAAATTACATTTACCAAACGCCAAAGTGCAAGTTTTAGATCGATACTGGCACATGGCATTGTAGGATACCTCAAATTTTATATTTGGGTGAATGTCTATATTTATTTCTGTTTGCTTTGAGACCTCATAGACAGCATAAAGAAATTCACCTAAGAAATAATTTTATTAACAGATGCAAATATTACTAAATACGTTAAATATAAACAATTTCTCCTAAACCATGCTTATTTGAGTATACTATAAGAGAAATTTTATTATTTTTCATATTAATTCTTTATACCAATTAGACCTTTGTCTCAAATTATTAGCCTTTCGTATGGTCAAATTTTATAATTCTTTTGGCATATTTCTTTTGTAAGAAGAAATTTCTCCTCACGTTAAGAATCAATGAGAAGGGAAGAAGATAAACTAATATATGCAAAAAGGAAAAAAAAGTTGGCCTCATCTAAATTTTGTTTACCTATTGAAGAAAAGGTTATGAATTGAACATGGCACATGTTATATATGAGTGATAATTAGAAGAGAGGATAAGAATTGGATCGGATGGATTCCTTTTGACCATTGGTCTTCCACTAAAGAATATTCAATAATAACAAGAAAGTTTATGCCTGTAAAACGGACCAGAAGCCAAGTGATATCTAGCAAACCCTTTTTAATCATTTGTGAACTTTTGCTTAATCATGCAGGGAAACAACAAAAATGATAAAGAAAAAGAGGGAAAAGGGCTAAGACTGAGTTTGACACATTGTTGATTTTGTTTCATATTTTCTCTTTTTGTGTTGTTCATCTATGATTCACAAACAAAATTTAAGCTGAGTACTGAACATTAGGACCGCAATTTTGAAGTCAAAAGCACTCTGCATAAGCCATAGCCCATAGGGTTGTTTCCCAGTCAAGAAAATATCCTAGTCAGATGATTCTAGCCACAACCTTTATTGAAAAAGATAATCCAAATTAATTGGGCTTTTACCATTCCTTTTTTTGTTTTGTTCGAAGAAAGGTTCACTCACTATAGGCCTTACAAAGGAGAGGGAGAAAAGAGATAAAGGAATAGAAAATGGACAGAACATATTTCAAAAGATCAATTCTATGCACTCATAATTTATGTATTATAATTTAATTAATTAAGTTCACTTGAAGAGCAAGCTTTAAACATTCCAAGTTCACATTGCAGAGGATACATGGAAATGGGAGCTAAATATCATTACGTGCATAACAGCACAGGTAAATATAAGAATTCCATTTAATGATTTTTTGACATATTATCGGCAGAGATTAAGTTGGGTTAGCCTTCAAATAGTGCATGCATGCCCCCTATTTAAGTAATTTTTATTAAAATTTATTTTTCTTCTTAGTTAATTAGTTAATCAAATTGATACTAAAGGTATTTCAATAAATACTTTTAATTTTGTTAATTAAGCTTGGTTAGTAATTAAGATGGATCAGAGACTGGTTAATAGTTTAAATTGATGGCATCATGACCAAATTACGTTTTCAATCAAACTAATTTCTCTTTATTTGTTTGAATAAAAAAAATTAAAAATACAAGTCACAATATGTTTTTTTTATTTCTTAAACTTAGGTGTTCATATCTAATACTTGTGTTCCTCCAGCTGCCTATGTTGAGGTTATGTTTGATTAAAACCCGGTTTGTTTGGTACATTGTTTCTTTCGGCTTAGGCACTTTTGACCCACCCAAAAAAAGATAAAATAAATCATTTGTAGTTTTTTCTTTTATTGTTGATTTCCCATTTCCCCTAATAACTTAGCAATACAAATTTAAATAATAACAAAAAAATTATATCAACAATAAATTTAACTCAATATAAACTGAATCAAAAGTGAAGCGGTTAAAATTATCTGAAGCACTATAAATATTAATTTCACGCTAAAGAAATGACTTAGTTTTAGTTAGAGGAAAACACTAAATAATTTCTTGACCCTTATAATAAGATTATAGGAGAGCTATTTTTGATATCCAACCAAAACAAACACATACAAGTTTGAACTTCAACAACGGAAAGAAATGCATGAGACTTCACTGAATGATACATTGCTGCCACAAGGGAAAAAATGCTTCCCACTCAATCGAGTAAGTGATGCTGTGAAGAGATTTGATTTGTTCTTCCCAGTGAAATGTGAATAATAATAAGGGAGGGATACCAAATAAAGAGAAAATAGAAGGGGAAAATACCACCACAATTCAGGCAGTATTTTTTATATGCTAATTCTGTAAGAAGATCAAATGTTCCCTAAACTAAGATTGTTTCCTTCTCTCTCAGTAACAATCATTCTGTGGCAGCACCACCGTGCCGTTGCATGGCAACAACTGGCTCACTGCACCTGGAACACCTAAATGATGGAGCAGCAGCACATCGTGTCCGAAGACAGTAATAACAATATCTGGAACAGAAATTGTGAAGCATTGCTTAGTCTTTCCTCCTTTGATGAGAAACAGCTGAGTTTGAAGCATATATACATAAAGTTGAGATCTACATATATTTCATAACTAAGATCCTTTCACGTTATCAAAAGGGATGCCCATAAATTTTTTTATCATAAAAACTATTACATGAGATGAGAATACATATCTAGAGATGTACCTGTGCTGACAAGGTAGAGCAACAAAAGGAATGGTTGGAGTAGCCTGGCAAATGGGACATACAGTGCCATCCTCGTCTGAACTCGACGATTTATCCTTAGAAAAAGGTCGAAGGAGATTTTTCACAGATGATGAATTAAGAAGAGGAAGAAGCAACAACAACATTTCCTGCCATCAGAACCAGACATAATTAACTTCAATGGGTTGCAAATTAAGTGGCAAAACATTCCTGCAAATTAATTAAATACACAGGGATGCTTCTAGTTGTAAGATAGCTACTTTCACAGGTGCAAATAAGCTCTTCCAAACACATCCCAGTTATATGATGAGTGTTTCAACTAAGGATTAACCAATTCAATCAATAAATCATCACAGGTAGCAGCACAAACAGACAGAACCTCTCATTCATTGAAAAATGAATAGCTAAGAATAACACATTTCTCAGCTTTCTTTTGTCTCCACTACTAAATAAAGGAAAATTCTCATGGAACACATGATTCCACAAACTAGCAAATAAACTTAATGAAGTAGGGAAAAATTACCGAGAATTCATTCCAAACTAATTGTCGATTCATATATTCAAAGCTAACAGCACGATTCATATTTGGGCTCCCATATACAAGCCTAGCTCGTAAGCCTCTTTCAATAAGATTTCGATATCTGCTTCACAATAGCACACAACAAGAAGATAAGTTTTACAGAGCAAGTCAATCGACTCACATGAGATAGTGTCATTCTAGAGGACCTGAAGAACATTCAAACTAAATGAAACAAAATCAATTAAATGCTAGGATTTTGTGTGTGTGTGTGTGTGTGTGTGAAATATTTCAAAAGACACAAACAGAAGAAACAAGCGTTGGTTGAATTATTTGTTTGTTGAAAAGAATTACCTTCCTGTGCAAAGAAATATCAACAGGTTTCCAAATGAAGCAGCTCTATAAAGTCCTTCTATCCGTTGTATCAAGATCCATAAACGTCGGGCTAATGGTCTCTGAAAAAAAAAGAGTAGAAAGTCAAATCAGAGCTCACATCAATTCAATCTACATTGACAGTGTAGGGTTCGAAAAGGCCGACTTAAAAAATATATATATACACCTGCTCTGTATCACCCCATCTGCGAAAAGCAGAGAAAGATTGTAAGCGAGCCCATATATACTGACCACCAACAGTGGCAACACAATACCAAATCTTCTGAGCAACAGTGAGTCCAGGTCCCTCCAGACCAGTTCTGACTGTAGAATGTACCGCATATGAATGAGAAGTTAGGAACATATTACAAGGATGAAAAATACTTGATATATGCACCGGTAACAGACAACCAGATAAATTGTACACTTCTTCCTCTACATTATTGGCTTTTAGCAAGAAAACACCACAAAAAATCATACAATTAACACCTTTAGCAGTCTGCTATACGACCATGATGCAGAGTACAAATATCCATAGATGATGTGTAAATTTTTTTTAAGGCTAATCTGATAAAAAAAAAAAAAAAAGCATACAACAAAGACTTGAAAGGCATTTGTTAACATGTGCGTGTCAAAATTTCTTATTATTTTCAAAGGCAACATGACATCATCAATTACACTTGCACATATTTCACGGAACAATCATCATAATGCTGGTATATACAACAATAGCTGGCAAGTTACAGAGTTTTTTTCTGTATGTTTAAATAATCAATTGGAATTCAGAACCACCTCACAACATTGAAGACCTGGTTAGCTAAATAGCAATACAGACAGATGAGATTCAGACCTTCCTACCTTTATCTCTTGATTCTACTGCACGCTCATCTCTGTACCTCAGGTTCATGAGGGCAATGCCTGGTGTTGGCTTATCCACCCAAATTGAGAACCGCCAAATAAGAAACTCAAGGAAAGCATCAAGCTCCGCTTCATACTGAAATAACATTCCTGGCTAATGCCAAAAAATATAGAAGAATTTGAAAGATGTTCAAAGCAGTTTCAATGTGGTAGTTAAATTATCATAGTCACTTGTTTCACACAATACCAAGGGAAGTCAGACATAACCGTACCTTCATTAATGAGAACACTTTAACCAACTGTTCTTTCAACATAGCAGACATTTCAACATCCAGTCTTGCTGCATCAACTTGGTTAACTCGGGATATAGAAATTGGGATAGTTGACTGCAGAAAATCCCACACGGATAATAATTTAATTAACAGTGTTATTGCAATTCTTGAAAACTGTCAACAACACACTCTTTATTGGGAATGAAGAAATTATGAGTTGCATCCCCCATAAAATCTGTCTCATCCCATCATGATTTTTAATAAATTTCAGCTAATACGGAGTACGCGTTGCAAACATTTTTCTATCTAAAGACAACAAAATCAAGCGTACAGGAAAAAGCAAATAGGAAACACACCATGCAACTTGATCAAACACTCAATCTTCAATTTGAAAATAAAAATAACACTTTTATGGCATTAAACTATCTATCTTCATCAAACTTCAAGAAATTTAGCAATAGTAAGCTGAGCTGCATAGGGAAAGAAAGCTTCAACTACAAAAAATGACAGAAAATCCACACCATAAAAAAAAAATCAAATCTTTTTTTCATAAGCAGAAGAATTTCTCCAAACCAAAAAAACCCAATAAGTGCTAACGAATGAATAAGCAAAAACAATGAATTAAGAGAAAGTGGGGTAACCCTAAATCAGAAAATAGGATGAATTTGAAGAATGAATATAGTTGGAAAAGCTCAGGAAGGACCTGTTGAGAGAGGGAAAGAGATTCCCAGCGAGGGAACAATTTGTGGCACGTGTGAATCCAAGCATCTTGAGGTGGAATCAGAGAGAGACTAGTGCTAGTGCTTGTGCTACTCATAGCGTTACAACGATGGCGATTTTGGTTGTGTTTGGTGTGTCCATGCACCGACTCCACTCTGGTTAACGTTTAGAGAGAGAAACAGAGATTAGATTAGAATGGTTTGGTTCGGTTCGTAATCGGTCATTGCTCAACACTGTTCACAAAGTTCTTCCAATGTTTCATTGCACCCAGCCACACTTGCGATTCACAATTCCAAAGCAGGGTCTCTTCGGTCTTTTCGCAGCTTAATTCAGGGAGTGAAAATATCACTCTAATCTACCCGTAGTAAAAATTGAATACATATTTTAACACAACACTGTGTAATTACGTAAATCTAAAAATCTAAGTTCCGAAAATTCTAAATTAATAAAACTTGAGAATAATTTATTATTTTTAATCAAAATTAAAATCTTACTAAATGATTTATTTTTACTTTTAATATTAAATTTTATTAAATAAATATTTAAAATATATTTTAAATTTAATTAAATAATAATGCTAAAATATTTATGATATTTTATTTAAATTTATTTATTAGATTTTTTCTATCCTACTCTTGTAAGGCAATGGTTACAAGATTAATAAATAAATAATTTTAAAATAAAAATTATTTATTTTAAATTTTAATTTTTTTAATCATTATATTCAAAATAATATTAAGCAAACTATAATATAATAATTTTTAAAAAAAAATTGTATAAATCAATTAAATGCATTACTATGATTAAATGATACCATTTTTAATAAAAACTTATAATGTATAACATCTTATCATCTACAATGTTGTAAAGGTTTAAAAAATTATCAAATAAGTATAAACAAAGTAAATATTTATTAATCATAATATATATGATCTTAAAATACATTTTAAAATTTAATGTACTGAAAAAATTGTGCAATAAACTTAGCTGCTATGGTTGTAGTGACAAAGAATTCCTCCATATATGGAAGACCAAGGTTTGATTATGATGATTCACATGCTTCAACATAAAATTCCTCCATTATGAAGAACTCCTTTATTTATATTACATAGTTTTCTCAGTTTCAACAAAGTGTTTTCTTTTCAAAATTTTACGTTTAAAAGCAGAGATGCAATATCATAAACATCACAAAGGGAATTTAATAAATTTCTGGGTAAAGTAAAGCTAGTAATTTTCAGTTCTCACCGTGAAATTCAACATATGCCAGCCCTATTCAACCCACCCAAGTACGCTACAATTTAAGGAGAATAGAAGCCTCACATTAAAGGCTATTACTCATTCAGCGACTGTTAAAGCTATAGACTCGATTGAACAAACAAACAAAAGCAACACTGCAGCATTTTGCTTCAAACTCAAATTACCTCACATCATGCGTATTAAGAGAACTGCTTGAAGACCAAATTCCCCTTCTTGAAATTTTCCCATTTCACTTTCTCTTAGGGTGGTAACTTAAATGAAAATGTTAAATAAAAAGAAAACTAAAGACATATTAAGGCTCAATGTAACATATCTAACCCAAGCCCAGTTTACAACTTCTAACTGTTATTTATAAATCACAAAATCAGCCAATTGCACAAGCTCATTTATATAAAAAAAAAGCTAAACTAAATTGACCCAGAAGCTTCAAAATTCAATACCACCCCCTAATCACCAAAATGTCATAAAGAATGGTTACAATGACCTACACAATATATCATAATAATTAAACCACATTTCAATGTTACTCTATTTAAAAGGGTTACATTTTCTCAAACTTCGAACGACAATAATTATATATATATATATATATATAATAGACTATATGCTCAATGCGTCGAATTTGGCCCTAGAGAACTTGGCAAGTGCCATATTGTATTCACTTTGAAGTTCACTGGCAAGGGTGTGCTCCCCAAAACTCCTGAGCCCATTAAGCAAAACCTTAACCAAATACTCATCGGGCTTAAGAACCGAGGCCCACCCATTCTTTTTCATCAGCCCGTAAATCCTGACCGTAGATTCTCTCCTCTTGGCAGAAATAACGGCCTTGATGAGACAGAGAAGCCCCTTGGGATCGTCGCAGTGGATCCCATTCGCATCCTCCAATTCGGCGATGAGATGGTCCACATGGTCGTGCATTTCGGCGGCGGCGAGGGACTGCACCATCTCGGCGTAGAGGGACATGTCAGCGCCGTATTCGGATCGGAGGGCGGAGAAGACGCGGAGAGCGAGGGCGCACTGTTGCTGCCGTAGGAGTTCCCGCAGGGTAGCGAGTAGGTCCGATTTAATGAGGCGCGTGAGGGTGTTCGAGAGGAGTTCTGAGAGGTTCGGCGGGTTGGTTCGGTGGAGGCGTTTCAGGGTTTGGATGGCTTGGATTGCTTCGATGCTTAGGATTCGACCTTTCAGCAGAGGTCCACGCTGCGACCGCGGTCCTCCGCACCGCACCCGAACGTAGCCCCAGCGCGTGCTCGTCAAGGTTGGGGGACAACGTTGGGGTTTAAGAAGGAACGTTGGGTTTTGGAGAAGAGACGAAGCCATGGGTTCGATAATGTGTGTAAACCAACATGGACACCATTAGAGTCGCCATGTTTTATCTGGAAGCCATCAGTTTCATACTCAATTACGCTTTTGCCCTTTCGTATATAAATAATTATGTTTTTTGCTCCAATATATAAAGTAGGCCCAGGTGTTGCTGTCTATATGAAATGGGCTAATGGGCTTCTTAATTGTAAGATTTCAGTATTGACAATTAGAATACCACCTGTGGACCAAAACGGGAAAATTTGAATACCACTAAACAAAAAATAATAATAATAATTACAATGCCATACATATAATTTCAATATTAATTATTATAAAAGTTAATAATTTTACTGATATGATAATTCATAATCAGTTATCAATTTTTAAAAATATAATTTTTTTCTTTTATTTAAATCACAAGTATTTTTTATGTTTGACAAAATTCATATTGAAACAATTCTATCAATGGTCGATAGTATATATTTGTTATATATTCTTAATCGCTTGCGACCAATTCTTTGCATACTACTATGGATTATCAGCACATTTTGTTCCTTTTCTATTCGCTGAGAAAAATTTAGCCACGCCTTCAATTCTCAATTGGCTATGATTATATTTACATCGTGATCTTTTAAATGCAATGATTAACGGCTAAATGCAACAACTGTTTCTACTTTTTTTCGAGATATGAAAAAGGAATGTTTGGGATGGTGTGCTCCTTTCCAATATTTTTAATTGGCACAAAATCATAACTAATAATTGATTTTAAGACTAGCAAGTTATTTTTCCCCTCTTTAACCAATGAGAATCCCCTGCTCTAGCTTCACCAATTGTATTCCATTTTAATGTTTTATTTAATAATAAATTGCTAGTAACTTCCTTTCCAAATTCCAACAATTCCACAAATTATTTGGAAGATATAAACATCTCGTTTGGATTGGCATTTGACTAATTTTTTATTATAAGAACTTTAAATGCCCTTATCAGGAACTAAATAATATTTTAATTTTTCAGACAATAAGCATTAATCACTTTAGTCTTTATAAAATCTTAATTTTATTCTTTAGTTTTATAAAATATTATTCATTTTTATTATTTTTAATATAAAAAGACGATAAAAATACATGATTAGAATAAATAATCTTTTACAAAATTAAGTTTCAGACTAGAAATTTTATAAAGCAAAATTAAAACTTCTAAAGACTACGATGAATGTTTACGTCCCCGTGAACAAATCATAGCAACTTTTGAACGTCTTTTCAATTTCAAATTTTTCATACATATAAATCCCACCCAGAACTTGGGTTGTTGTGCTTGTTGATATGGAACTTAGCTCTGTTCTCCCCCTCATAAGGGTGACTATTTTTTCATTGCCTTTTTTTAGTGGGAGGCTATTGGAATTGGGAGGTGCACTTGGTTAGTGCATAGAAAGGGACTGCTATGTTGGTCAAGCTGAACTGCTGAAGTTATCTTGAACACAAAAAGAAATGGATTAGACTTGAAAAAGAGAAGCATGACAATGAACATTTGCAAATTTGGCTTTTCTCCAATAATTGCTTTTATTTTTATTTTTCATAAGAAAATATATATAGTACACTGACTGATTGTTAATGTGTGATACCTAAAAAATATTTGTTCACTTTCTATCTTTGACCAAAGGAAATGAAGTGGATGGTGGGAACTTGGTTTCCTTTTAATCACAATAAATGAGTAGGACTTTTCAATGTTAGTTTCAATTACAGTCAAAGTCAATGTAGATCTATTCTATGTGACTCTGCAGAAGACTATACGTGCAAGTCATCATTTCTGCTTTTAATAATTTGATGCTGCAAACAATGGCATTTCCTCTTGCCTTCTAGTAGTGCTCCTTTTGCAGCTCTGAGATTTTACCACTCTTTGCTGTTCTTCATCCGAATGTACTTCTGTAACACGCTTGACTTTATAATTTGCTTTCGTAACTAGAGCTTTATTGTTAGAATTAAACTAGGTTTTACATAACAAACAAATATTTGTCTCGGTTCATTAGATATCATATATGCAATATTATATAAATCTGCATTGAAGGGATTAAAAGTTGAAAAATATTTTTAAAATTAATGTATTGAAGTAAAAGTGTTCAGTAAAATTACATGTTAAACTAGTTAATAAACATAAAATGGCATTAATCAGTAGTAATTTATCATAAAGTTGTAAATGAAACCCCCTAATTCACAAGTGTATTGATTTTATAAAATAAAACTTAGGATTATTTAAGTGTGGTCAATTCAATTGAAGAATATGTTACTGTTCATGAAAATCTTTGTCTCAAAGAAGGCAGTGATTTGAAGTTTCATCAGAAGCTGGTTGTTCATGCGACCCAACCTATTCTCAATGGACTGTGGACTTCTGTTTTAGATAAATTTTGTCATGAAAATTTTGTACATGCTTATCCCGTGAGATTTAAGAAATGCAGCACCTAAGATATGGACCTGTCCCTCGTGGCTACATCTGATAATATTTTCATCCTACCTTGCTGATCAAAATTCTACTCTTCTACAGGGATATGGACCCAGCTTACTTCCCATAATTTTTGTTCAAACTAACAAGGTCCATTTTCATAAATAGTACAAGCTATATTGACATCTATGTATGAGGGTTATGATATGAAATCTGTTTAGATAAACATTTTAATAAGGAATTATAAGACCAAAAACAAAAAATAATAATTAAAGAGATAAAATGAATTTTTTAATAACTTAAAATTAGTTTATCAATAAGTTAAATGAGGGAGAGTTTTTTATTTTTAAGTTAAATTACATAGGTTAATTTTAACTAATGAAAAATGCTTTATTTATTTTATTTATTTAATTCCTTTGATTTTCTTCTATCATAATTTGATGATGTCACCAAGGGAACATTTGCTATAAGAATTAATCAAAAAATTATTCAAATTGGTCACATGCAGTGAGATAAGATTTTGCATATGATACCGATAAGTTGTAAACTTCAGCTCCTACTTATGTTTTTTAGATAAGGTAAATATCATTTTTTTTAATCTAACAACTTCTTTTGATTTGAAATAAGATACTATTTCCTTCTCCTAAAAATCTTATAAAAAAAAACTTACTCTTAAACATTACATAACTTACATGTACTTTCTTTAGTGATAACTTTCAATATGGTAGCTTTGGACTCCTCTCTAGCAAGTCAAATTTCGATGAACAATGGTGTTACTGCTCTTCTAATGATTTTAAGCCGTAGAGTACTGCAGTAGATACCTCCAAATGGATTCGGAGTCTTTAAGTTAAAATTCATTCCAACAAAATACGAATGCCGAATTCGTGGTGTGTGCCAACTGCTCCTAGAATTACTTTTAAAAATTGTATAAAATATTCAAATTATAACATGATTATTATGTTATTATGTTTTAACGTTAACAATTCATAGTTCAATTTTTTCTCTCATTTTTAAATAAAAAGATATGTTTCTTATATGTGTATACTATGTTAGAGGAGGAATATAATATAAAATCTAAACTCTCTTGAAGACATTGATTGATTAAGGAAAACCATTAGGATTCTTACACAATTAATTTTTTTTATGATTCAACAATTTCTGGAATAGCTTTTCATTTTTCATATATTTCTCATTTTTCTTTATATCACCCATTATATTTTTTTTTTTATTTTTTTATCTTTCGTTGCTGGTCTCATTCATACTATATGATTATCATCATTCTTACTAGAATTCATTAAGGGTGTCTGGATAAATTCAATTATTTTAATAAATATCTTTAACAAATTGTGTACTACAGCTGTATGAGTATTTTCCAACGGTGACAACACAACTTTCTGCATTTTGGGTCAATTTTCATAATAAATAATTATTTTAATTTCTTTTTTATTTCGGAAAAAAGGTAATTTTAAAAAATAAGTTAATTAGAAAAACACAGTTCTTATTTATTTTTTGTTTCGTTTGATGTATTTCACATGATAGGCACGTGGCATTTGGTTGAGACCGATCGACATATATTGTGGATCATAAAACGATGTCAACCATAATCCATCATAAATTATCAGAATGCTTTGGCAATTCCCTCAATGCTTTGCCAATTAAACAAGATCAAAGGGAACAAACCCATTCATAGTCATATGAGAATGTGGAGGTTCTTGTATTATGCACCCAAAAAAGGGTGTTTGTGTGTGTGTTGAAGGCATTAACAAAACGCAAGTTTGTGTGATGGGATAGTGCACAACAAATGGAATCCCCCTTTAGTGAAACTTGAAAAGGAATCAGGAATTGGCGTTGCTTATCTGATCACGATTACGAGTGTTACAGTTTTTATATGCACTGTAGCAATGGTGCTTGGCAACCTGGTCCTACATGTTTCATACTTTAATACGTGTGATAGGAGAATAAGATAGTGACCAAGGTCAGAGAATCACGTACGTTAATCATGCATGAAAGAAGAGGGGAAAAAAACATATATAATAAAAGTGAAGCATGGAAGAAAAAAAATTTCCTCCTATGGAGATAATATTGAAGCTAAGATTTTTGACAGCATTAAACCCACTTCAATTGCACTATGGGACTTGTCCTTTGTGGTGTACACATTTATACATGGCCACTTAGAGTATTCCTTGATGTGGTAAAAAAAAACTGGTGAGTGGGATATATCGATTTCTCTTCGCTGCTTTAGAAAAATGACAACATAAATTAATCTTAACAAATGAGTTTAATTCTTTTAAAAATAGTAAACTTTATTGAAATATTAAAAAAAAAACTTATTGTAGCTTTTACATTTTTATTTTAATAAACATTTTTATAATAAAATAATTTTTTAAAATATTTAAGTTATAAAAGTTGTATTAAGAGAATCAAGTATAATTAATATACTTGATGTTTTGCGGTTATTAAATAAGTGATTAGATTAAGATGCGTCAACTATATTCAAAATAATGGAGTAAGAATTATCAACTATATTCAACGTAACACTACAAAAAACTATATTCCACGTAACATGCTTACCCAACAACAAGCATTGATACAACTAATATGTCAAGTCTTGGAATAAACACAGCAGCGAAAATTTGA